CAGATTCATTCTAGGCTTCATCGCAACCATTGCAAGGAAGTCATTGTATGAAGAAGGACAGACGTGCGGCATGCTAAACTGACGCGTGGTGGACAAGAATGACCGGTCTGTGACTGGTCTGACGCCGGTTACGTCATCGGCAGACAACCGTGCTCCCACATTGCATCTGCTTCCGGCGGAGTGGAAGTAGGTATGACCCATCCCATCGGAGGGTCATTCGGACAGCGGCCATTGCAAATCTCCGCCCATTAATGGAGGAATGACAGGGGTATCCCCTGTGTCAGGCGAGTGACGGCGCTGGGCCTCACTCAAGGACAAGCTGTGATTTTGGTCAAGATAGGGTGGGTCCCCACCAAAAAGAAGAGTAGGTAGAAGTGGTGCATGTGGTATCCCCTTGAGATATAAAAGGAGGACCTTGCCCACCAAAAAAAGAGGAAGGGAGAAAAGAAAAAAAAGAAAGGGGGAAGGAAGAAAAGAACAAAAATAGGGGAGCTCTAGAGGAGAGAAAGAGGAGGAGAGGTTCTATAGCCTAAACTCTCTTGCTCTCCAGCTCTCTGTAACTCCTTCATATATAGATCCACCAGAACACAGGAGTAGGGTATTACGTTTCTCAGCGGCCCGAACCTGTCTACATCGTCCGTGTCTCGTGCATTCTCTCTCTCGCGAACATTCCACAGATCGAGGGCAAAGAATCTCACTTAGCGCCCCCGGCCGAACCGGCAAAGGGGGGCCTGCGCGGTCTCCCGGTGAGGAGCCCCACGTTCCGTCAGATTCGATTTTTTTTCTATTTTTGTTTACATCTAAAATAAGTACACATAGAAACATTCGGTATAAAACCTTTATACACACACAGAAACACAAACGTCCATCCAAGATGCGGCGTGACCACATCCAGACGTCCACACCGAGGTGATCGCTTCTGTCGATCGATCGATTGTACACACAGCCATATATGCATATGTCCGAACGCCCGATAACAGAAGTAGTCGCTACGCCAGAGATCTCGGAGAGATACATGGATACCAACGCTGCAGCTTGCTACGTCTATACATTATTTATTAAGTAAATTACACCCACGATACAAATTTAGTAGGTGGGTGCGATATAGTGCATGAACTTGAGAATTGAACGTCCGAGTGCAACAACTTGACAAGTGGGTGCGTTCTAGTACAAGAACTTAACAATTTAGTATTTTGGTGCATCAACTTTGCTAAGCATATGAAAGGTGAGTTTTTTTTTCACAATGTTTTTACCTTATAATATTACCTTATAATATTGAATTTAATATTATAAGGTATTGAATTTAAAAAAATCATATGAATATTACCTTATAATATTGAATTTAATCTTTAAGAATTATACTGCACATAGTAATACAGTTTACATCCAATTACCTTTAAGATTTTTTTTGTTTTCTTCACCTTCTCAAATATCAACCAAATATAATAATTTCTACATCTAGTTTAATTGGCTTTCAGTTTTTAGTTATTAGGATAAAAATATAAATATACTTATACAAATTTGCGCTAGTATATTGTCAAAATTAGTACTTACAAATTGAATTTTTATTAAAAAATGCTCAAAATAATTAAGTTGTCGCATAACTTTTTAATTTATTGTATCAAAATCGTACCTATCTTGCAAGTTGTTGTATTTATACGATCACTTATAAAGTTCTTATACTAAATTGCACCTACATTGCAAGTTGTTGCACTAGAACGCTCATTTTTACCAAATTGCATCCATCAGCCAAGTTGATGCACCGTGGATGCAATTTACTCTTTCTTTTTCCCTTTTAGGAAAAATTTCTGTGGAGAGTATCCTATGTATTGCTACGTACGTCCATTATATTCTAAAGATATTTACGCTTTGAACGTATAATTATACGGTCCCATAGTTATATTAGATCCATTTGAATTTAAGTTCCGTACGTGAGACTATTGATTAAATGCGTATTACAAGTCATTGAGATTGGAATAAACGACCCGACGGTGTAGATGATATGAAGGAAAAATTTATTGTGACGGTTAACACCGTTAGGATTATTTGTTATGACAGAGCCATGCCAAGCTAAGACCTTGTTTAGTTCACTAAAAGAAAATTTTTGGGTGTCACATCACGAAAATAATTTTTTTTTAAACTAAACCAGGCCTAATTTGATTTCCCGACAAGCTAGTACTGTTAGAATTTACCTGACATCACCATGCTCTAATGTATTATACTATTATCCCGATGTAATCCAGGATTCCTGTAGTGGCTACCTGTACTGGCTATGTTTTAATTAAACAACTTATTATGCGCTGGAGTACTTCCTCATTTACGATCTATGTGATGCTCTGGTCCAAATTTAAGGACCGACCGTTTATTTCATTCGACTTTTCATATAGAAGTTTCTTAAGAAAGTAATAGCTATGCTCGTTTTAGGTGCGTGAAAAAGCTCAGCCATCGAGTCGATTTGTACATAACCTAAAGCTAGTATATTTACCTGCTTGAGTCAACCAAAATTTGGATGATGTTGGTTCATGTTAGGCTTTTAATTCTAGATCAATTTCGTGGACCGCTCATAATACATTATGAGGTTAGTAGAGGGTAGCGATATATTTATGGACCCCACTTCCACACACACATATATACATACACTATAAATGTTTTCGATAGACCATTAGACTTCTTATAACCATGTCACCAACCATGATCAGACAGTTCAGTTATATGACTAAGCCCCTGTTTGTTTCAGCTTAAGATTATTAAGCCAGATTACTATAAGCTGGATTATAATAAGCCTACATAGAATAAACTGTTAGTTGTTTGTTTCTCTGGATTATTAGTTGTTTGTTAGCTGTTAGCCACCTAATAATTTAAAAAAGCACCTTTAGAGTGGATTACCAGATTACAGTAATCTAGCTTATAGATTATAATAAACTATCACAATAAGCTATCTGTTTGTTTCAGTTTACTCTTAATAATTCATATTATAATAATTCTAAGCTGAATCAAACAGGACCTAAGTCCCTAGCACACATATGTGAGTCATGTATCATGATCATATTGTATATAAGATTAATTTCAATATGATCATGTTGGTCAACAGCTTATAATAGAGCCGATTTTGTAAACAAACACATCTATTTCACCCTGTGACGAGGGAAAAAAACACGTATGTGTACGACAATTATTGTAGTAGAGTGTATCTCAAGTAATTCATCTACTATATTCCAACATAGTCGCCCTGGATATCTCCAGTATCAATTTCTCATGTTACATTGTGCACACAGTCACCCTCGACGAGTAACAATTTTCTCATGTTACATTGTGCATCAGTTATTCCCTATCACACAATACTTCCAAACTGACTACACTACAAAAATAAATGTTGAAATATTCCACGTAATAATTCCAACAGTTCGTGCAATTTGTCTATGGATGAAGCATCAAGAAGCATCACACCGGTTCAACACCACACATCTCGATTAGACGATCACATCTCGATCGGCGCATGAACTACGGGGTTTCGCATTATGACCACTCAACAATGGAAAAGTGTTTTCATCTCTCGAGAAGATATCCCCTTGTTTCACCTAAATAGTTACAAAAATTGAAATTCTTTTTAACAAGATAAATTAATATGAAATATAACCTTTCATAAATATGCGAATTCAAATTGAACTTGTATAAGTCGTAAAAAAAATAAATATATATAACCGTGAATGTACGCAATTTAATTTATTATTTTTGTTACAACTTGTAGAAGTCGAATTTGATCCTACATGTTTGTGGAGTGATACATTTCTCATTAATCTGTTTTAAAGAAATAATAACTATTTAGATGGCATATACCCACTCTATAACATCTTAAGTAGGGGTGGACAAAAAGCTCGGGCTCGTGAGCAGGCTCGGGCTTGGTTCGAGCTCGCAAAAGCTCGGCTCGGCTTGAAACCTAAACGAGCCAAGCTCAAGCCGCCTACGCAGCTCGTTTCTAAATCGAGCTGAGCCCAAGCTAGCTCGCAACCCGCTCGTTCAGCTCGTCAAGCTTTTTGCATAAAAATGGCCTAGCACATTATTGTCGCTGTTGTGGCCCAAGGCCCATCAAAAACCCTAAGTTCCTAACCTATTCTCCCAGTCTCCCACCCACCCCACGCGTAGGCAGCCGTCTTCTCCCCTTCCCACTACGCGAGACCGCGAGTCCGCAGCGACCGCATGAGGACATCGAGGCGCTGCGCTGCACCGTCTCCTTCCTCCCCTGTGGCGCCTCTTCCCTCCGCTACACTGTCGGTCCGCCGCCTCCCTCCCCTATGGCACTGCCTCCATCCCTAGCGGCCAACGCCGCCGGTCCGCGGCCTCCCTCATCTACAGCGTCGCCAGCCTGTCGCCTCCATTCCCAGCGCCGCCGGTCTACCGCCTCCGTCCTCTACGGCGTTGATGCCGTCCATCACCTCATTGCCTGTATCTGAACCAAGCTGGCTCGAGTTGGCTCGAGCTTTGAAACGAGCCAAGCCGAGCTGCTATTTTAGCTCGTTTCATTAATCAAGCCAAGCCAAGCCGATCCTCTTCTTTGTCAAGCTTTCACGAGCCAAGCCGAGCCAAGCCTGGCTCGGCTCGATTCCACCCCTAATCTTAAGTGCAGTTGCGAGTTTTTGCGTTCAACGTTTGACAATTCATTTTATTTTAATTTTTTAAGATTAGTCTTTTTATTGTTATTAGGTGATAAACCATGAATATTATTTATGTGTGACTTGTTTTTCTAAATCTTTTAATAAATTTTTTAAATAAGACGAACAATTATACAATGGACATAGAAAGTCGTCAGAACATAACTTAAAATATGACGGAGGAAGGGAGTAAGAGATAAGGGGATGTCGCAGCTAATCCATCTCCCTCAGTAATTACTGCTCGTTTTCTGGTCATCGGATCGCTACGTTTTAGAGCTAGGCCAGACGATGTGACGCCATGCATGCAGGCCGTGCAGATCGCCCCAAGAGAAATTAATTATTACTCGACATCGATGATTGATCTCGGCCGGCCGGCCGTTCTCTCTCGACGCGACGTCGTCACGCGGCGGTTCATCGACGGCGCCCGTGGAGACGCGACAAACGCCAGCGATCGAGCAAGAGCAACCAGAGAAACCCATGGCTGCCATTGATATTTGATTGAAGGTGCTAGCTACGCCGGTATAAATATGGAGAGGAGAGACGTGCAGCTCTGCTTCTAGCTCGACTTCTCGAGTGGTGACGAAGCTAGTTAGCAGTAACAATGGCGGCGGCGAGCGGCGAGAAGGAGGAGGAGGAGAAGAAGCTGCAGGAGAGGGCGCCGATCCGGCGCACGGCGTGGATGCTGGCCAATTTCGTCGTACTCTTCCTCCTCCTCGCCCTCCTCGTCCGCCGCGCCACCGCCGCCGACGCCGAGGAGCGCGGCGTCGGCGGCGCGGCGTGGCGCGTGGCGTTCGCCTGCGAGGCGTGGTTCGCGTTCGTGTGGCTGCTCAACATGAACGCCAAGTGGAGCCCCGCCCGGTTCGACACCTACCCGGAGAACCTCGCCGGAAGGTGTGGCGCCGCCCATCGTCCTAGAAAGTCGTCGTGCATCTCCGGCCATCTCGATCTCATGCGGAGACAGTGTGCTTTGATGCAGGATCGACGAGCTGCCGGCGGTCGACATGTTCGTGACGACGGCGGACCCGGCGCTCGAGCCGCCGGTGGTGACGGTGAACAAGGTGCTCTCGCTGCTCGCCGTCGACTACTACCCGGGCGGCGGCGGCGCCGGCGGCGGCGAAGGCTGGCCTGCTACGTCTCTGACGACGGGTGCTCGCCGGTGACGTACTACGCGCTGCGGGAGGCCGCCGGGTTCGCGAGGACGTGGGTGCCCTTCTGCCGGCGGCACGGCGTCGCCGTCAGGGCCCCCTTCCGGTACTTCGCCTCCGCGCCGGAGTTCGGCCCGGCCGACCGGAAGTTCTTAGACGATTGGACATTCATGAAGGTAAGGCTTTATGCTATCCCTGGATAAGTAAATACTCCCCAAAGTTTTTAGGTTACAAGACGTTTTAACTTTAGTTAAAATTAAATTGCTTTAAGTTTGACCAAGTTTGTTGAAAAAAAAAATAGTAAGAGCAAGTATAATAATGAGCTATAAGTCTACTATAAGCTTACGTGGAGGAGAGAGGTAACAAAAAAAAAATCAAGAGTATTGATTCTAATACAAGAGCTAGCTTAACACAAGTTTCAAGATAAATACATTAAATATATAAGTGAGAGATAGATAGAGGAGAAGAAAATTATAACTAATCTTATAGCTAATCTATTATATATATTAGCTTTAAGATGGACTAATAGTAGAAAGTGAGCTATACTATTATCCTTGCTCTAACATTTTCAACCCAAAACAAATTTATTAAGAAAATATATTCAATTATTGATTTGATTAAACTAATTTAGTATTATAAATATTGTTATATTTGTCTATAAACTTAGTTAAGCTTGAAATACTTTGACTTTGACCAAAGTCAAGACGTATTATAACCTGAAATAGAGGGAAATAAATTTCACAGAATCGAAGGTTATGGGGCATCCTTAATGCAAAACCCGGGTTTTACAATTTGTTTCATGAAACCTCAAGTTTTAGGGGCAAAGTGTTTCATGAAACTCAGCTACAAGCTTATATCGTCTATCCGACTAATATATTTATCTATATTAATTGTATAAAAATGTTTGAGATCTTTTTTAAAATACATATATATACACGTTATCTGCTTTATCATTTATTATTATCGGTTATGATTATGGTGAGTTTTGTATGCGGTGAAAAGTTGAAAAAACAATTAAACTAGATAAGAGAAATGTGTATTTTGAGCCAACAATGTGAATTTATTAAAAAAACAATAATGTAATAATGAAATATGAGTATTTACATAAATATAGGTTTTTTTTTGAAATATCTTACTCTAAAATATGAGATTTCTTAAAACAAATCACAATAACTGAAGTTAATAGATACCCCAATAACGTGGGGTTCTGTGAAATTTATTCTAAATAAATTTAGGGGCGGATCAGGTTTAATTGAGCTAGCCCATAACATTATGGGTCAAGAATAGAGCTACGCGAGGCCCCAAGGTCCAGATTCGTCCCTGTTGGTATGCTAGGTGCACAACTGTGCTAACTATTTTTTTAGCGTATCACAACGTGATGTGCTAAACAACGACATAGTCACTGGGACACTAGTTTGACTATTAATTATCAGTTACTATTACTAAGTATAAAACTTATAAAAGATACATACAAGTTAATATAACATTTTGAAACTTTTATTCAGGACAAATCTAATTAACCATACAACATTCAAAAGTAGAACCGAAACGTTCAAATAGAATTTGACGGTCAAAGTTTAAACATATATTACTACACGAATTCGAAAACAACACATATTATGACCAGAGTGAGAACATGCTAACATCCAAAATGACAAAGGAGAAAAAGAAATAACCACAGCTTACACAGAGAAATTTTATAATTTAACACTTCTTTCGTTTCCCAATTATTTTAATTGATACTTGTGAGAATAACATGTGGGGCCATCTGAGTAAATGAAAATGTCCAAAATGTTAAATAATCAAAACACATTTTAAAACGTGTTAAATTATCGAATCTCTTTAGCACTTTAATCTTTAACGGCATATTGATTGTGTATAATTCTAGAGTGAGTACGACAAGCTAGTCCGTCGGATCGAGGACGCCGACGAGACCACCCTTCTGCGGCAAGGCGGCGGCGAGTTCGCCGAGTTCATGGACGCCAAGAGGACGAACCACCGCGCCATTGTCAAGGTCGATTCCCCACATGGCTAGCTTTCAAACTGATCATGTCAGAACTACATCAAATCTTTCTTGTCTCTCATGACATGAACTTCTCATATCGGGGAGATCATCATCAGGTTATATGGGATAATAACAGCAAGAACAGGATAGGCGAAGAAGGAGGGTTCCCGCATCTCATATACGTCTCAAGGGAGAAGAGCCCCGGACACCACCATCACTACAAGGCCGGCGCCATGAACGCCCTGGTACTAGCTCGATCAGTGCACTGATATCTACTGTTAGCTCGATCGACATGTAATGGGAGTCAGATTCAGATCGAGCCCAGAGATGTGCGTTAGTACTGAAAACATGTGTACATTTCTCTCTCTTGTGTGTGCAGACGAGGGTGTCAGCCGTGATGACCAACGCACCGATCATGCTGAACGTGGACTGCGACATGTTCGCGAACGATCCCCAGGTCGTCCTCCACGCGATGTGCCTGCTGCTGGGGTTCGACGACGAGATCTCCAGCGGGTTCGTTCAGGTGCCGCAGAGTTTCTACGGCGACCTCAAGGACGATCCTTTCGGGAACAAGCTGGAGGTTATTTACAAGGTACGTGCGTACACAAGTGGTTGTCCGTTATAATACATCTACCAGTGTATTCCTCCCTCCGTTTCATATTATAAACTGCTTTGATTTTTTTTCCTCATCAATCTTCTTTAGTTTTGACCAAATTTATAGCTAGAAAAAAAATTAACAATATCTATAACATCAAATTACACTAAATTCATTTCATTATATATAACATTGAATATATTTTACAAATATGTTTGTTTGCCTTAAAAAGTATTACTATATTTTTTCTATAAATTTGATTAAACTTAAAAATATTTTACTAAAAAAGTCAAAGCGACTTGTCATATGAAACATATGAAGTACTTCCTCCGTTTCACAATGTAAGTCATTTTAGCATTTTCCACATTCATATTGATGTTTAATGAATCTAGATAGATATATATGTCTAGATTCATTAACATAAATATGAATGTGGAAAATGCTAGAATGACTTACATTGTGAATAAACGGAGGGAGTACTAATTAATGATAACACTTATCCATTCTTATAGTGAAAGTTTGAAAGTACATCTTTGTGTAACCCAATTGAAAGTAACAATTAAAACTACACTATATATCCACTTCTGAATATAGATGCTAGATTTCTATCTATAGAAAAAAAACTAGACTAATTTTGCAGTACGTGTGTTCAGAAACTTCTAGGCGGGGTTGCAGGGATTTAGGGCTTATTTTATGGTGGAACGGGTTGCTTCCACTGTAGAAAAGCCATTTACGGCATCGAACCAGACTCCATTGTGGTAGGAAGAGAGGGCGCCGCAGGTGAAGTTGGAGCATACACAGTGATGTGATGGTTATCACTTATCAGGAGAACATTAGTCTTATCATTCTAGTAGAACTAAATCGCGAGACTTTTCAATTTGCTTCTCTAGGTTCGCCATCTTACAAGGAGCTTCAGTTCAAGTTTGAAAGTTCAGAGGAGTTGAAGGAATCAGCTCGGTACATCATTTCTGGGGATATGTCCGGTGAGCCAATAGTAGATATATCAAGTCACATTGAGGTTGCAAAAGAAGTTTCTTCCTGCAACTATGAGAGTGGCACACATTGGGGTCTGGAGGTATAGACAACTTTCATTTGTCATATTTTTGTAGGTTATGCTACAATGCACTACACTTTTAAACAAGCTTCATAGCAAGTCATTCCATATATCTACAGGTTGGTTGGGCCTATGGATCAATGACCGAAGACATTTTGACTGGGCAGCGGATCCATGCAGCAGGTTGGAGATCTGCAAAGTTGGAAACCGAACCACCAGCATTCTTGGGCTGCGCACCAACGGGTGGACCAGCTTGCCTAACCCAGTTCAAGAGATGGGCAACGGGTTTGTTTGAGATACTCATAAGCCAGAATAACCCACTCCTTCTGAGCATATTCAAGCATCTCCAATTCCGACAATGCCTTGCGTACCTGACTCTTTATGTGTGGGCTGTGAGGGGATTTGTTGAGCTATGCTATGAATTGTTGGTTCCTTATTGCCTACTCACAAATCAATCCTTCTTGTCAAAGGTACTCTCTCCATACTTATCTTTACATTGCTTATATAATTGTAAGTATTAATTAGTTTTTGTAGTACAAATATTTGTAGAACTTTTACATATTCATGAACAATTCTTTTAGTACTTCCAATTGGTTGGGAGCAGAGAAGTGATGCAGTAATATCTTGTTCCTATAGGCATCAGAAAATTGTTTCAACATCACATTAGCACTATTCTTGACCTATAATACATACAACTTCGTGGAGTACATGGAATGTGGGCTCTCTGTACGTGCCTGGTGGAACAACCACAGAATGCAACGGATCATTTCAGCCTCTGCATGGCTACTAGCATTTTTTACTGTGCTCCTCAAGACCATAGGCCTCTCCGAGACTGTGTTCGAGGTCACCCGTAAGGAGAAGAGCACATCGGATGGCAATGGCCAAAACGATGAGGTTGACCCGGAGAGATTCACCTTTGACGCATCACCAGTGTTCATCCCCGTTACGGCGCTGACAATGTTGAACATTGTTGCAATCACAATTGGTACATGGAGGGCAGTTTTTGGGACAACAGAAGACGTGCCTGGTGGTCCGGGTATAAGTGAATTCATGTCTTGTGGATGGCTGCTACTGTGCTTATTGCCATTTGTGAGAGGGCTAGTGGGCAAGGGAAGCTATGGTATCCCATGGAGTGTCAAGCTGAAGGCTAGTTTGCTGGTGGCCTTGTTCCTGTTCTGCTCCAATAGAAATTAGTTTCAGCATGTAAGCATAGTCAGCTTAACATGTTTCATGTATGTATTATTTGAGCAATATGTTTGTAATTCCATTTAGCAAATGACGACAACTATAAACATATGGAGTATTTCACTTTCAGCTGGTGGTGTTGTTGGTAAACATAACTGAGTTCTATAAGATAGCAGTTCAACCACTAAGAGCGTCATCGGTTGGTTAAGAGCTGATTATATACTAAAACAACTTATTAGAGATTAAAATATAATTTATAGGTAAAAGCTTTCATATGTGTCATTTGCGACTTAAAAGCCAATGCTGAAAACAACTATATTGAAAATACCCTAAAATGAACCCCACAATTAATTTTCAAAATTTAAATTTTGGTAACAACTAATTCTTTCTAGGGCAAACGATGAGACCCTAAGTTCCAAACAAAGAGTAATTCTTTATTCCGAATACCTACAAGTACATTATTATAAAAATACGAGTGCTTTTCCATTCTTAAGAACGTACCACCAGGTATCAGGTATCAATCTAAATAACTTTTGGTTACATATGGGTACGATTGGGCTAACCAATTGCTAGATAGAATACATCAATCCCCAACCCCTTCTGTCCCTCGATGAGGTGTCACCACCACCTCTTGATGAGTGCCTCTATAGTCTATACCGTCCTCATTTGTTTCATCATGGAGATGCGGGCGCGATGTCGCCACCGGGTCCATAGCCTCTAGCCTCATACATTCCTTCCCTCACCGTGATATCACAGCGGTGACACTGCCACCACCGCTGCTGACCTTTTCTCAATTCGCCGCATCGAGGATTCCAATTCGACGAAAACCCGCCACGACTGTGGGATATTCAGTTTCGGCATGTTTTTTCATGCAGGGAAGTGAATGAAAATGTATAAATTGATTGGATGATGATTTGCAATGTTGATGTGGCATTAGAGATTAGGCTAAGTTTTGTTTGTGAGGGGAAAATGTTGTTCCCGCTATGTGTATTATTGATGTGCCCCTGGAGAAATATAAGAGTATTTGGTTGGTGACCGTGTATTCGGTTGAAATTCTATTCCATCTCCTATACTCCCTCCTTCCCAAATTGATCATCATATAAGTTTATGTACCAAGACCAAGAACCATTTAAATCACATCAATCAAGACACCATGCACACAATCTCTCACAATGCATGCATCAATTAAAACCCTATGCCAATTACACCGTAGCATGCACACATTCTCGCATATTATATTAATTGTATTCCGATGAAATTCGTGTCCATGCAGTTATATGATTATCAATTTGAGAAATTTTAAATTCTATTACATGATGATCAATTTGGGAAGGAGGGAGTAGTAAAGTTGCTTTCGGAAAATGATATTAATATATTTTTAAATTTTTTAGGGTAATACTTAATTAATCATGTGCTAATAAGTCAACTTTGTTTTACATGTGTGGAAGACTGGCCATTTCTCTTTCCTTTTTGGCCCATTGATTTGGTCCCCCATAGTGCACCGTATGTTCGAGTACTATACGAGGTAGTCTTTTATCTACTTAGGTGGATGTCCACATGATTCGTGTGTACACATGTACTCCCCCAATGAATTCGATCGGTACCTAGGATCTCAGGACCACATTCCAAATCTTATGATCCATCCAACGGCCCGTAGGTTGGGTGGACGTTTACATGGATAGATAAAAACCGTGTCCAGTACTATACGACGCTAGCTGCTTCTGCATGTGCCACGCCACCGGTGCAAAGTATGTGACTAGCTACACGCACGCGGCGTGTGCCTTTGCCGCATGTAGCTTGATCGATCCGGCAATGACGGTGGTGGCGAAGTCATCTCTGCGGCACCGTGGCACGCCGGCACCGTGTGGCACGTGGCGCTCGTATGCGAAGCAACGTCACTTAGGATACTAGAGTGGTCATGATAACTTAGGACCGAAATGACACGCTTTAATAAATTTGTAGATCTGAAAATGTATTTTCAGAGTTCAAAAATATATATTAGGGATGAAGATGGTTGGAAAAACCCTATACCATTTTCTTTTTCATATTTTTTTCTCGAAAACAGAATCAGAACGGTAGATCCGAAAACGGTAACGATATCAGTAATATCGGTATATCGGAAACGGAACAATTCAGAACGGAATATACCGATATTGGTTGGAAGTCGAAAATTATATCGGAATTAGCAGAGTGTGGCATAGCACACATTTAACTATGCACGAAGATGACTTTTTAACTTTATTGTTGCATCATCGCTCTGCACGTGACACCGTTATATGATGATTAATGATACGATAATAAGTTTGACGAACAATATAAACAAAATTCGACAATACTTTAACATCGATAAATTGAGGAGACCAAAATTCACGAAATCAACATACCACGTCATAGGGTTAACAACATTTTCCCTGGTCACTTCCCCTTTTTTATGGGCTGCAAGCCTATTAGGCTTCCGTCATTCATAGGCATCCGATGGATTGGGCTAACTGAGCCACCGAGGAACTTTCGGAATTTTTTTAGAATTTTGACGGAAATTACCATACAAATACGGTTACCGACAAAACATTCGGAAAAACCTCCATCCCATTTCCGGAAGATATTACCGTTTCTATTTCCACCACCGTCGATTATCGTTACTGACTAAAACGGTCGGTGCAAACCGGAAACAGTAGCTGGAAATCTCAACAAACAAAGTTAAGGACCGACGACACACTTTACTGGTGATAGAATAAACACATGCATGTTGGAAAATAGAAGTGTTGAAGAAAACGATACTCTCGTCGTGCCCCCGCGATGCGTGCGTGGAGTGAGGAGAAGACAATGATTTTTTTTCGTTTTTAATACTATAGTAGATAATAATGGGAGAAACCAAGAAACGTACTCGCTCGCTAGCTACGCCTACGCGCGCGCCGCGGCGTGGGCGCGCGTGTGCGGTTGCCGCGTGCGTTGCTCGCTCGACGCATGGCTCGATCGCTTCGTCGCTCGATCGATCCGTCAATGGCGGTGGTGGCGGCGGCGGCGGCCACCGGTTCCACCACCAGATCAGGCGGCGGCGGCGGCGAGGGGACGAGGTCCGGGAGGAAGAAGCCGCCGCCGCCGCCGCTGCAGGAGAGGGTGCCCCTCGGGCGGCGCGCGGCGTGGGCGTGGCGGCTGGCCGGCCTCGCCGTCCTCCTCCTCCTCCTCGCCCTCCTCGCCCTCCGGCTGCTTCGCCACCACGGCGGCGCCGGGGGCGACGGCGGCGTGTGGCGCGTGGCGCTCGTGTGCGAGGCGTGGTTCGCGGCGCTGTGCGCGCTCAACGTGAGCGCCAAGTGGAGCCCCGTCCGGTTCGTCACGCGGCCGGAGAACCTCGTGGCGGAGGGCAGGACGCCGTCGACGACGGCGGCGGAGTACGGCGAGCTGCCGGCGGTGGACATGCTGGTGACGACGGCGGACCCGGCGCTGGAGCCGCCGCTGGTGACGGTGAACACGGTGCTCTCGCTGCTCGCCCTCGACTACCCGCGCGCCGGCGAGCGGCTGGCCTGCTACGTCTCCGACGACGGGTGCTCGCCGCTGACGTGCCACGCGCTGCGGGAGGCCGCCGGGTTCGCCGCCGCGTGGGTGCCCTTCTGCCGCCGGTACGGCGTCGCCGTCAGGGCCCCGTTCCGGTACTTCTCCTCCTCCTCCTCGCCGGAGTCCGGCGGCCCGGCCGATCGCAAGTTCTTGGACGACTGGACATTCATGAAGGTCAATCAACTATACTTGGAAAAGTCAATATTCTCGAGTTTCTTACATGTCATCTAAATAATCCGGAACACAGCGTCATGTTCCGATGATCTTATGTTTATGGCCATTTTCTTGTTTGATCAATTTCATATATAGGATGAGTATGACAAGTTAGTGCGGCGCATCAAGAACACCGACGAGCGCTCCCTCCTCCGGCACGGCGGCGGCGAGTTCTTCGCCGAGTTCTTGAACGTCGAGAGGAGGAATCACCCCACCATCGTCAAGGTCGATGGCAATAGCTAGCTCTTCGGCATTTTTTTACCTCATCGTGATACATGAACTTCTCTGCTCACTAAGCCCCGTTCGAAATTATTGAAGATGAAGATTAAGTATGAACATGCGAAATGAGAAAGTTATTACTACATTGTTAATTGAGTTTTAAATATTTTAAACTTAAAAAATAGATTTATCTGATATTTTAAAGCAATTTCGATATAGAAAGTTTTCCAGTTTTAAAAACATGCTATATGGGCATGTAAAACGAGAAACTCATTACTACATTATTAATTGAGTTTTAATTATTTTAAACTTAAAAAATGGACTTACCTGATATTTTAGAGCAATTCTGATATAGAAAGTTTTCGCATGAAACACACCGTTTAGCCGTTTTAAAAAATATGCTAATGAAAACCGAAGTAGAATCTGCAGTGACAAAGCATTTTTTTCTCTCTCTCTCTGTGCAGACGAGGGTGTCAGCTGTGATGACCAACGCACCGATCATGCTGAACATGGACTGCGACATGTTTGTGAACAATCCCCAGGCCGTCCTCCATGCGATGTGCCTGCTGCTGGGGTTCGACGACGAGGCCAGCAGCGGGTTCGTCCAGGCGCCGCAGAGATTCTACGACGCCCTCAAGGACGATCCATTTGGGAACCAGATGGAGTGTTTTTTCAAGGTACATAGCTAGTGTACTGATGATCAATGCTAGTAGCTAGTATTTCTGCCTTCATCTGTATGTTGGAGTATTAATCTATCGATGGTTAATGTTCTGATTGTTTGAAATCAACCTTTTAAAATAAACGTCAAGAATTATAGAACCGGAGGGAGTAGCTGTCGTGCTTGGCTGTACATTTGCTTATATATGGAAAATGAGTTGTCTGATCAAATCTGAATTTACTATGCACAAAATGTTTCTTCATTAATCCGTATCCCGTTCTATGCTGCTTATTAACCCCACTAATATTCCAAATAAGTTAAACTGATCTTGTGTCATGTTTAGAGATTTATCAGTGGGGTTCAAGGAGTTCAGGGTGCCTTTTATGCTGGAACCGGCTGCTTTCACCGTAGGAAAGCAGTTTATGGCGTGCCACCGAACTTCAATGGAGCCGAGAGAGAAGATACCATAGGTGAAATTGGGCATACACTGATGTGATTGTTAGGAGTACATCAATCATGCCATCTCACACCCTTAAATTGAGAGACCTGGCATAATTCTTCAGGTTCATCGTCTTATAAGGAGCTTCATACCAGGTTTGGAAACTCAGAGGAATTGAACGAATCAGCAAGAAACATCATTTGGGATCTGTCCTCTAAGCCAATGGTTGATATATCAAGTCGCATTGAAGTGGCAAAAGCAGTTTCAGCTTGCAACTATGATATTGGCACATGTTGGGGACAGGAGGTAAAGACAACTTCCATTGCCATATTTTTGTAGGTTATGCTACAGTGCAGTACACTTTTCTGCAAGTCTCATACAATTCATCCCTCATATTCTAATCAGGTTGGTTGGGTCTATGGATCACTAACAGAAGACATATTGACCGGACAGCGGATACACGCGATGGGTTGGAGATCCGTATTGATGGTAACCGAACCACCCGCATTCATGGGCTCCGCGCCGATTGGAGGACCAGCCTGCCTAACTCAGTTCAAGAGATGGGCAACTGGCCAATCTGAGATAATCATCAGCCGGAACAACCCAATTCTCGCAACCATGTTCAAGCGCCTCAAATTCCGGCAATGTCTTGCCTACCTGATCGTCCTTGGGTGGCCTCTGAGAGCGCCTTTTGAGCTATGCTATGGATTGTTGGGACCTTATTGCATACTCACAAACCAATCCTTCTTGCCAAAGGTAATCATTTGCATGCCACTCATTAATACATTCCTTATATTTTTCAAGTACTTTTCAATTGGTTGGCTAGAGAGTGATATGGATGAACTATTATACTCTTGGTATCCTGTAGGCATCAGAAGATGGTTTCAGCGTCCCGTTAGCCCTATTCATATCCTATAACACATACAACTTCATGGAGTACATGGCGTGCGGGCTCTCCGCCCGTGCATGGTGGAACAATCATAGGATGCAACGGATCATCTCGGTCTCTGCCTGGACACTAGCATTTCTTACCGTGCTCCTCAAGTCCTTAGGCCTCTCCGAAACTGTTTTTGAGGTCACCGGCAAGGACAAAAGCATGTCTGATGACGATGACAACACCGATGGTGCTGACCCTGGGAGGTTCACCTTCGACTCATTGCCGGTGTTCATCCCCGTGACGGCACTTGCGATGTTAAACATCGTTGCGGTCACTGTCGGAGCATGTAGGGTAGCTTTCGGGACAGCGGAAGGTGTGCCCTGTGCCCCGGGTATCGGCGAATTCATGTGTTGTGGGTGGCTGGTGCTGTGCTTCTTCCCGTTTGTAAGAGGGATAGTGTGGGGCAAGGGAAGCTATGGGATCCCTTGGAGTGTCAAGCTGAAGGCTAGCTTACTTGTGGCTATGTTTGTTACCTTCTGCAAAAGAAACTAATTTCAACATCTAACCATAGACAAGTAAATTTTACCCCCAGCTCAATGGTATGATAGGAGCATGTATCATATGTATCAAGAAACACCTCATCATTTTCCATCGCTCCCATCCGCGTCGCTCCCGTCCCAGGGGCGGCACGGACGGCGCCTCATCCTCCTCCGCCGCCTCCTCCCTTCTCCTCCCCTTTGCCTCGCCACCGCCCGAGCGGCGCGTCGGCAAAGCCGACCGGCCACAAGGACGGCGGTGGCGGGGCCCTCTCCCCTCCTCGAGGAAGCCAGCGGCGGGGACACCGGGGCTGCTCGGGAGCGGCGGTCCGCGGCGCGGGAGGCGGCGCCGGGGGGTTGGCGTGGCGGATCCGGCCACGCCGGAGGCGGATCCGTCTCCCCCGGCAGCGGATCTGGCCCCTCCGTGTCCAGGGCCGAGCAACAGCGAGCGGCGGTCAGCGGCGCGGGAGGCGGCGCCGAGGGGTCGTCGCGGCGAATCCGGCCACGCCGGAGGTGGATCCGCCTCCCCTGGCGGCGGATCCGGCCTCCCCGCATCCAGGGGCCAAGCGACGGCGAGCCTCGCGGCGACGGCGGCCGGAAGGAGGCGATGGATGCGCGCTGCTGTGGACGGATGTGGCGAAGGCGAAGGCCTAGGGGTGAGGCCGGTTCCGGTCCTCCCGGGGCGACGGCAGGCGGCGGAGGTCCACAGCCCCGGTGGCGGCGATGGCGACGGCGGTCCACGGCCGCGATGGCGGCAGCGGAGGACTGCAGAGGCGGTGGTGACGGAGGGCGACGAGGCAGTAGCCGCGTTGGCGGTGGCGGCGGCTGGTGTTGGCGGTTGGTGACAGCAGCGGCGACAGCGGCCGGCTTGCAGCGGCTGTGAATGTGGAGGCACGGTGGCGAACGTGGCTGCGGTGGAAGGAGGCATGGTGGTGATCACCGTGGCTGAGGTGGGAGGATGTATGGCGGCCTTGGACGGCTAGCCGAGGGTGTAGGAGACGATTGCATCTAGCCGGCGCGGCAGCGTTTGGAGGAGGGGTTGGAGACCGGCTTGGCGCAGAGAGGCGCAACCGATGGCAGCGGAGGCCGGCTCGGCGCGAGAGGCGCGGGCGGAGGAGATGGAGGCCGGCTTGGCGCGAGAGGCGCGGCCGATGGAGGGAGGCCGGATTGGCGCGAGAGGCGCATCCGGTGGAGGAGGCCGGCTTGACGCGAGAGGCGCGGCCGGCAGTGGAGGCGACCTCGGTTCGAGGAGCTGCTGATGGATGTGACGCGGTCTTCGGCGCTCGAAGGCTAGCCAGTAGGGGGCGCCGGTGCAGGGGTCCCACATGTCGGCAGAGGTTGAGGGGTGGTGGGAGCATTGGTGCGTCAGCCGTGGATTCGCCGGTGGTGAGCAGCGGGTGAAAACCCAGCCTGGCCATGGCCGGACCGACAACGATGGAATTCCCCCTCTTGAGGGTGTTGTCGTGCTGTCTCATCCCTCAAGGGTGGTTGCCGGGCGAAAGCCCAGTCCTGGCTCCTTTGAGCCCCGACGGATGGCGGCGGTGGTTTACCATCGCTTCTCTTCTTGAATACGTCGTTTTGGTATCCCCTAGCCGAAGCCTCTCGATCGATTGGTGCAAGCACACTCTAGGAGTTGGCTTTGTATTGGTTGTGAGGGTGTTCTTTTGGGCGATCTCATCTATGTTTCTTTGTTGGTCTAGCGGCAGTCGGTCAAGCTTAGCGGCGGCCGGTCCGGTGTTAGCCTTCTCCCGGTCTTGTGTGTTGGAGCTGTCGGTGTGTGGGTGGTGGTATATTTTTCCTTTTTCCTGGTTACGACCCTTTAGGGTTGTGATCTTGTAATTTTTTCCTGCTCTATCAATAGAACTTCGTACCGTCTCGTGCGAGTCGTTCAAAAAAAAATGTATCAAGAAACAACACTATATTATTCAAGTAACATGTCTATAACTCCAACAACGACGACGACAACATCAACGGATTTTACACTTTTACCTCCTGGTGGTGTACTTATGTTCGGAAACTTTAACCGAATTATCCAAAAAGTAACAAGTTCAACGACTAAACTGAAAGCAAAGACTGGTTTTAGTTATTCCAAATGCTGAGAGTACGAATCCTCGATGAGAGTAGCAAGGGGGACAGCAAATTCAGGACGATCAAATTCGTCTCATTCGGCGAGCCTGACCATCAACTCTGACACTGCGAGCTTGTATTTGGCTTCAGGCGTCAGACCCTCTGTGCTCTGAAGGGATGCTTCGTTGAGCTGCTTAACCACACAAGCAAAATGAACAAATTACTCACATTACATATAACTTATATTATTATATCTATGTATCCGAACAAATGCTGCATCCATCCTAAACTATAACAACTTCTGTTCTGACTATGCATCTGGACAAATGCTTGTCTAAAAAGTAGCCAGAAGTTAACTACTTCCTCCGTTTCACAATGTAAGTCATTCTAATATTTTCCACATTTATCTCGATGTTAATGAATCTAGATAAATATATATGTCTAAATTCATTAACATCAATATGAATGTGCGAAATGCTAGAATGACTTACATTGTGAAACGGGGGGAGTATATTTTGGAAGAGATTATCGTCGGTGAGCTAATGGCACTTACGCGGACATGGACGCTGAACAAGCTCTTGTCATGGTCGGCGGAGATGGTGGAGGTGACGACGTCGATCTGGTGCTTCTCCAGGACGAACGCCACCGTGGTGAAGGACGCCCTCTGCCGCGGGAGGCACATGTTGATGAACGCGTCCACGCCGGCCATCGTCAGCGTGATGTTCGGCGCCGACCACGTCTGCAGCGTCGGCGCCGCCGCCGCCGCCGCCTTCTTCTGCGGCGCCTGCGCGTTCACCGCCGCCGCCACCGGCGCAGGCTCGGCGACGGCGACTGTGACGGCGGTGGCGTGGCGCGGCGGCTGAGAGTGAGAGTGAGAGGACCCCTCGCCGCCGCCGTTGGCTGCCACGGCGGCTGCCGCCGCCGCCGCCCACTGGTGCGCGCGCACGCGCTCCGTCTTGATGGTCTCCAGCTTCTGGACGACGTCCTCCAACGTCTTGATGTAGCCAATGGCCTCCCCAACAATGGAGGCCTTGTCAGTCTGCAACATGATCATCAGGTTATATGCATCCATGTTCTATCCGCAAGTTTAATTTGCTTTTGTAGGGATATGCATATATGTATGTACATGCTGTAATGCAGATTTTGCTTTTAAACACATCAAATTTGGTTGGTTAGATTAATTCATAGAAAACTCCACCCACTAGGGTTTAAATCATGTTGTCCACGAATATTACGCACATATAGGTGTGCATTCAACATAAATTTAGTAAGATCAAGGATGTGCTATAGGTTTTCGTCTCTTAGAGCATATGTTAGGTGACCCATTTGTGGGTGTGTGTGCGCGCGCGTCTGCCGTGTAATCTAAAAAGAGATAAGAACTATCCAATGTCAGTTTTTTCTTGTAACAATTGGAAAATACCAAATCCTGGTAAATCAAGGATATATAGAACTTCTCAATTGCATTTGCAACCTATAACAAAAGGATGTGAACATTACATATTTATATTTGTTTCTTGTTTTCTTCCAAATTTCTTGTAATTCTTATGTTTTGATAGAAACATAACTAAACTATCATGTCCTCTAGAACAATTACTTTTATTTTTAGAAATAGAAAAGGTAAAGAGACATACTCCCTACATTTTTAAATATATAACGTTGGTGACTTTTGACCATCCGTTTTATTCTAAAATTTAGTGCAAATATGTGAAAGTATAAGTTACACTTAAATTAACTTTACTGATAAAATTAAAGAAATCGTAACAAAATAAATGACACTTACATACTATTTCTTTTAATATAGTAAAACTAATTGTCAAACGTAAACCAAAAGCTAACAGCTTCATACATTTAAAACGGAAGGGTACAAAATTAGAATTGTTTAATAGCTTGTAGGTGTATCCTCCAGACAACCAGATCATATTGATTCAAAAGTTCATGACATGTTTTTACCACATCTAACAAGCTAGCGTATAGGTTAAAATTCAACAAAAGCGAAAAGATAATGTGGCATTAAAAAGTTCTTATTGGAGCTCAAATTACAGCTAGCATTGAACGTTTTAATTGCTGGTATTTATTAATATGATGCTAAAATACAAGGTCAAATTCTAATTATGAATGTATATTTGACAAAACAATATGAACTACTCCTACAAAGATGCATTCACAACATTATTTCCATAAACCAAATTACTCTAGAAAAACTCCATCCAACATCAAAGCTACACGTATAATGTTCTTCCAATGCAGTGTATTGGTTTTACATAGGTTTTAATTCACACTCAAACCATAGAGAACACAACTGCTCTTTGCATAAAAAAGAATAGGTATATATCTTTACCCATGCAATAAAACAATGATCTAGCCATTAATACTAACAAAACGAAAGATAAATCACATAAAACAAAGGAAAAAAATACTATATTTCACACATTTCAATCATGATTTAATAGCCCCAAAATAGAAATGTCATGCTGACCTTGCCTGGGATCTTGGGGAGGAGGCCATGTAGGGTGCTGAACATGTTCTTCATCTTCTTCCTCCGCTCTCTCTCCGTCCAAATATGCAACGCGTGCTCCATGTCCATAGCGTTCTTGCCTTTTCCGTTGGTATCCCGTGTGCTGACACCACTGCTGACGCCAGGACGACCACCACCTTCTCCTTCCTCTCTCTTGACGGCCATGTTCTTTCCCGTTCCCTCTATCTTTGTGTTGAACCCAAACATAGTAGGGCTTGCTACCTTTAAACCGATGTCTGTCTCGACAGGCTTGCCGGAGCTAGAGCTAGAGTTAGATTTCTCTGCTTTAATCGACCTTACCAGATTATTGGTGGTGACAACGGCGGTGTGATATGGGCTTTCATCGACATCTTGAGAGAGGTCGGCTCCTTCTTGAGACATGGGGTGTATGGGGAGGTGGAGGTGTTGGGACTAGAGGAGGAAGAGAGCAACAAGATAGGAATAGAGATTGGGAATTGGGGAGGAGGGCAAGCTATGGGGATTCTTATAAGATGTTCTTTAGGGGGATTTATTGCATTAATAGTTGTCATCAAAACTTTCTTAGTTGGTTCTAGTCTATGCTTTAACCAATACTTATATCTGTAACCTCAATGAAGTTTTAAAGTAAAGATATATACTTTGGAACAAAAATTAGTAGTTTCAAAGGATATTATGCAATAATCAACCATTATTTCCCTACATATGGATTAATTGAGGTTGAGGGTACATATAGATTTATACCCGAGGATTAAGATTTTACTGAGTGGGTCTTCTATAAACAACCAGATCACGAGAGAAGTACATGGAAAAACTCAGGCGTGCTCAAGAGTTGGTGGGCCTACACATCCTGGCACAATATACATCTTTTTTCTTGGCCTTATTAGTCAGCACTGGAAACTTTACGTTATTTACTTTTGGAACAGATACTTTGTATTTTTGTTTCATGCACAACGTTCAACACATTGTACCCTTTACATTTATGGACATAAATATAAAAACATTTTTTGTGGTTAAAGTATAGGATTTCCCCTTCCCTCAGAACTCCTAGCATTAAAGAAGCTTGTGTGGTGCAGTAAGCTACCTATCTTGCATTCTTGCTGGTAGTAATCTAATCCAGCTCACAAGTTTTATTTTATTGTGAAAAAGTTTCAGCTTTTATGTATCATCAATACGTGGATGTTTATGCAACCTGCATCTCTTTACATAGGAGTGAAAGAATTACTATCTCCGTCCCCTAATATAAGAGATATTCACTATTTTTTTATAACGTTTGACCACTCGTCTTATTTAAAAAAAATTGTGCAAATATAAAAAACGAAAAGTTGTGCTTAAAGTTCTTTGAATAATAAAGTAAGTAAAAAAATAAATACTAATTTCAAATTTTTTTTGAATAAGACGAATGGTCAAACAACACAAGCAAAATGTCAAAATTCCTTATATTAGGGGATGGAGGGAGTATAATATAGTTAAGATGAATTATTAATTTATTACTGAAATGGCGCTATTAATTAAAAAAAATGAAGAAGCTATTTTCCTATACAACCACAAAACACTGTTTTTGTGTCCATATATTTTTCATTTGTTTTTAATCTCAAATCTATAAAATCTAGTTACTTCAATATTATAATAATCATGTATATATATGTATGTGAAAGGGGATTAATTGTTTTATTATGGGGGAGAGTATGCATATGCAGTAATCAAACATCTGAGACTTGATTTTGGTTTACCATATACCTCTCTTTTTAATGGAAATTGATTTTCCAAGTTGTGAATTTTAGTCCATGAATAAAACTGACGGTAACTATTAGGGTGTGGGGATGAAGTCACGAGATTAGCGCGTATAGGCTATCTTAATTGGCACGATGTGTCTTTATTATTGGCAGCATTAGCTAGCAGTAGCGTACTTGCAACTCTGCTTTTCTTATGGGACAAATACTAGGCATTTTCAGTTCATCATATAGGAAACGGATCATCTGCGGTACAACCCATGTAGCTACGACCACTGACATGTAGACCCTGGGTCAACATGTTTGTGGTTTTTACTACATGGGCATTACTATAGAAGTACGTAAGAGTTATATGATTAAACTTTAGTCTAGCTCTGCGCAATTGTGCACGAAATTCAGCTTGTTCAAATATAACAGAGAACCTATGCATTTGGCAGCTGCTATTCATGAGCTACGTTTTTGCAGTAAAATCAGCCACGAGAACTGGGATTTGGTCGGGGGATTTTCCTCCGGTTTCACTGCTATAACCGAAAAAGAAAATAGTGTTCAGTTTCTCACTTTTATTTGGGAATGCATCCTGAACATAATTTAACAAACTGTTCCTGATCTTACTCTCTCTGTCCTAAAAAAACTTAACCCCCTCCTATAATAACGAATCTGGACTACCATTTATCCAGATTCATTGTCCTAGGAGGGTAGTCCAGATTCATTGTCCTAGAAGGAGTCACATTTGTCTAGATTTATTGTTCTAGGAGGAGACACATCTCCTCTTAGATTGGTTTTTTTTAGTACGGAGGAGTATGTTCTTAAACCACTGGGGGGAAAATATCAAATTACCTTATCAGATAGACATGAATTGATTTGCGCACCAACTAAATGGTTTCTCTAATCAAATTACCTTATCAAATCGAAACTATTAGTAGAAACCACCGTAAATATGTCTTTGCTAATTGCCTTGTCCTTAGGGGGAAAGGTGTTGTGTATTTAAAACGTAAAACTTTACAGGTTTTTGGCATACCATGCATCTAACATAAACTTGAAGAAATGAAGAATTATGGGTTTTTCAAAATGCTACTTGCATTCAATTAACCTGAATTGTTATGCTTACAATCATCAGCCAAAATCAAACTAATAAATCTTAGAGCAACAGAAAGCCAGATAGTAAAACTACTCGAAGACACTCCTTCCTAGGCTAATCTGTGAGCAGCTTTAATTATTAACTTATTTGTTAACCCTTCGAACAAACTTAGCTTTATCTTCTGTTCTTGACCAAAGTCTCATAAATCGATTTGTTAACTTTCTTCTGCAGAGTGTTGAGAGGAAGGCTATCCTGCAGAACCTATAGAGAATTATTTCGAAGGCATCCAAAGCTACAATAGCAACATGTAAACAAGCCACATTTCTCTCAAACCAAATAAGCAAACCCACAATTACTGCAAATTATTAGAAACAAACATTGTCTGCAAACGACAATTAACTGGAGGTTCCACCTCATACACAACTTATTATGTCTGAAAACTCAAACCAGACTTGCGAAGAATGATAAATTTAAAGCAGTTCAATTCAACAACGACGACTAAATTTGAAGCAAATCAAAGACTTGTTCATTCCGACGAAGACGACGGAAGCAGCTAAACCCAGAAAAGGTTTGCTTTTTTATTCATGGCATTTATAGGCATTCTTCTCAGACGGAGATCACCCAAAGCATCAGCTCTGACATTGCCAGCTTGAACTTGTCCAGAGGCGTCAGGTTCTGAGAGCTAGAGCTCCCTGGACTCAGCTGTTTGATCAAAGACAAAACAAAAAAACACCAAGATTTTGATTAGATCACAGCTTGTACTGATCTCGATCGCGATCAACTAAAACGTGGCTAAATAACAGAGGAGAGAAACCCCAAATGATATATGAACACACGATTCATTCACGTACATGGCAGTGCAGGCTGATCAGGTTGTCGCCCTGCTCGGATGCCGAGACGGTGGCCGTAACGACGTCGATGTGGTGGCGCTCCAGGACGCTCACCGCGCCGGCGACGAGGTTCTTCTGGCCGCCCTGATGCGGCAGGGAGAGGGTGATGAAGCCGTCATCGCCGGTGAGGCTCGCCGTCATGTTGGGCCCCGTCCACGTCTGGAGCGAAGCAGCGGGCGGCGGCGGCGGCACGGCGTGGCCGCCATGGCTGCCGCCGGTGGCGGCGGCCTCCTGCTGCTGCTCCCAGGCGTGCACCATGTCAGCCAGGGCCATCTCCCTCGTCGCTGCAGCCACCACGGAGTCGTGCTCCTCATTCTCCTCCTCCGACGGCGGCGGTGCCTGCAGCGCGGTGTCCGCAGAGGCAGCGGCGGTGGCGGTTGCGGCGGTGGCGAGAGCGATGGCATGCTCGCGCTCCACCTTGAGCATCTCCATCTTATGGATTTTGTCTTGGAGGTTCTTGATATAGTTTATGGTCGCCTCCACTATAGTGGCCTTGTCAGTCTACATGCATAAAAGTAACAACAACAACAACAACAACAACAACAACAACAACAATAACAACAACAACAACAACGGCAACAACAACATCAACAATAGCAACAACAATCAATTGATCGGTCAATGCAAATTTACTGCCGCGTTGTGCTTCGGAGGGAGCGAACGGCAGCGAACGCAAAAATCTTGCCAGCGTGAAGCGCCAAGTGGCCAGTCATATAGTCAACCGCGCGAGGTTTGAGCCTGTTGTGATGGATTAAACCAAGATAACCGAGCTAAATGTGCATTTTGTATGTTCATGGACCTTAGTAACATCACGTGTAACTCTATGGACTAGTCATGGGTTTTACTTATCTTAATAAATATGATGACATTCAAGTTAGTACATACATCCATAAATCCAATACAAGTAATTTAAACAACATCTTAGTAACATAAATATGTGAATGTGCAAGCAATATGTCGATTTTGATTTGGATTATGGATAGATCTAATCAAAAGTTACTAAAATGTAGTTGAACATGACACGGCAGTATAGTTTGTATAACAAGAAAAAAACCATTCCATCACTCAAACACCATGTCATAGACCACGGTACACATCTAAAGTAATTCTAACTGTTGTCACCTAAAAGTTATGGCCAGCTCAAACCTCTCTATCCCTTGCAAAATAGAAAAAGGATATTCTATCTCTGTACATCAAACAATAAAAACAATCTAGCAATTAACACAACATAATCTATCTATGTAAATCTAGATTATTTAATGAAGTCAGAGAACAACAGATAATTTAATCAAGTCATAAGAAAACAAACATGCAAATACATCGCACATACTCTTTTATTTACATATCTAGAATTTCTAATCAAGCCAGGAAAAAAAATAAAATTGTAAGTATCTCAAACATACTTAAATGATTTATTTGTATGCAAACCCATAGGATTGTAAATCCTACCTTTTCTGGGAGGTTGGGGATGAGGGCATGCAGAATCTCAAACTTGTTTTTCATCTCCTTCCTTCTCTCCCTCTCTCTCAAAACATGCATCTTGTGGTCTGCATAGGCAAAGTTTTTCACTTCATCGTTGTTGTTTCCTCCGCTGCATCCTTCACTTGCACCTGCCAAAAGATCCAAGAGCTCATAATCAACTTCATCAGATGAGCTCTTGGACTTAGATTCACTAGCATCGCTAGCGAAGCCATCCTCGCCACCTTCCCCCTCTTCATCCGCAACGACAACATTTTCCCATGTTTCCTTGATCTCTACAACATCACTAGACACCACTGGACTTGCTGGCTTTGACGAAGGTATTAATTCTCGTCAGACTTTCTAGAGTCGGAGTAGCCCATCTTTGTCGAGCCTAACGGTGTGTTGGTGGCGATGGTGAAGGGGCAGTCATGGGTTTCTTGGGTGCCTTGAGGATGGTTGTTGGGACCTTCTTGAGACATGGCACAAGGGGTGTATGGGGAGTACAATGGAAAGGGGATAGATATGAGGGGAAGAGGGTAGCTAGGATGCTCTATAAATGGGTTTTTGTGCTCGATTTAATGGTCCCAAATCTTGTGTGGTATATGTTTTCATTATTGCGAGGATTCGCTAGTACTGACACACTTTAATTTTACGTTACTTTTGAAATAAATATTATTATATATTTCCATTTCATGTGAAATTTGTAGTTTACAATGTGTTCACAATTGCAGACACTTGCAAAGACACACAAGATATATATTGTGTTGTGTAGATACACTGGGACTTTACATTTGCTCATATGTTGATATCATTCTTTTTACCTTTGTGTTTGGTTTTTTTTCTTTGGTTCGGAGAGGGGGGATCGTTAATGGGAACACCCACCAGGCACACTATACTTTTACATTATTACTTGACAAATATTATGTATTCCTATTACATACACGAGTTCAGTGTACAATGCTATTTACAATTTTGAGAGCAACATTTTGCATGTCTTTTTATTGGCATGATCCGCTAGTGCTGGCACACTTTAATTTACTTAAATTTTACGTTACTTTAGGAAGAAACAGAAATTTTAATTATTGGCAGGATCCGCTAGTGCTGGTACACTTTTAATTTTACGTTACTTATGGAACACGTATTATGTATTTCATTTCACACACAACGTTTTTTTTGGGCCCAAATTGTATAATGCCATCTACAATCCTGGGTCCAGTGGTGTTGTTCCAACGGTTGCGTAGTGCAGCCAGTACTGACACAGTTTAATTTTACATTATTTATGTGACAAATATCCTTTGTTATTTTCAGGATCTGCTAGAACTGTCACCCTAAAATTTTATGTTCGTTTGGGACACACATTATTTATTTCCATTTTATACATAATGGTCAGTGTACAATGCCGTTCACAACGTACTCTGGGTCTTGCATCTTGGGTGATATATATTTTTGGATCTGCTAGTACTTAGGCCGTGTTTAGTTCCAAAATAATTCTTCAAACTTTCAACTTTTCCATCATATCAAAACTTTTCTATACACACAAACTTCCAACTTTTACGTCACATCGTTCCAATTTCAATCAAACTTCCAATTTTGGTATGAACTAAACACAGCCTTACACACTTCGACTTTGCGTTACTTCTATGAAAAATATTCCGTATTTCCATTTCGTATACAAATGTTCAAAGTACAATGTCGTTTATGGTTTTGGATGTATATAACAAAAGAACAAAATATTTGTTGCTAAAGTGTACCCATGATTCCCATTTCCTCCAGGCTTCTAGCAAGAGAGATGCTTGTAAAATACAGTTTAAATATTCAATGGATACAAATAGCAACATAGTCCAACAATGCTTAGATTTTAGTTTGGTTTGAACTTTAACAGATTAAATTAGGTAAAGTGCTATAAATCTAAAGTAAAAAAACAAAATATAGCCCATAAGGTAATCATTAGATAGTTACTGGGAAGCTACATTCCTCAATATATCTGCCATTAAATTTGGCCCAAGTTTATAGCTTTCCATCGACCCGATATTACTACCGAAACTCAAAATTCCTGTTCGATAAAATTAGAAAAGAGAGAAGAGGAGGTATGTACCATTAGGGAAGATTGTGATATTCAAACAAATCAACCTTGATTTGTGTGAGGGCTATTGTTTCTTAAAATGGATAGCTTTATGGTTCAATGTACTCCCTCCGTCCCAAAAAAAACGGCTATGTATCTGGACATGACGCATGTCCAAATACATAACCAGGAGTTGGCTTTTTTGGGACGGAGGGAGTAAAATTCTAGTCTATGACAATTCTAATAATGATATCATTATGATTTTGCAACATATCAATAAATATGGGCACAACTAAATGAATTAAGTTTCACTTTTGGACCCGCGGAAGGCCTACGCCCATCGAACAACTAGATAACAAGAAAAGCTTAGGGAGAAACATATATATAAGTTGGCTTCAATTTCCACGTGAAACATACATATTTCCAATTTATAAATAACTTTCAATACACACTGCTATTCGAAATTATCAATAGTTAATACAATTATTTTGCTACTAAAGTATAAGACATTCCCTTCGAGCCAAGTACCAACATAAAAAATATTTGGGATGCTGCTATGTAATCCAACTAGAATTAACATGCAACCAAGTGAGCATACCTCAATTGGTTGGATTTATTGTGGTGGAATCTGTTCGCCTGGGTTTAAATTCTTGGTACAGATGCTCACATTTACAACTAATTATTTTTTCAGTGGTAAGCGATATAACTATCAATAGTGAAATGTCCTTGGTGACTTCGTCAATCTCAAATTATGGATAGGGCGAGTGAGAAACAAGAATTAACATGTAATTGTAGTTTACGGTAAAATTTAACTAAGGGGCTGATTTAGAGCACAAGAGTTCAGAAACTTAAGAACATGTTAAAAATACATAGTGTTTGGGCAACACAAGTGGCCGGAATGTACTTTAGGAATCTTTGAAGGATGATATTTCATTAAATATATAGTGGTAAAGAAAGAGTATGTATTCATGGACTTCTTGGAAAATTTTAGCTCATATTTGGTGTCTGAGTTCACACTAAAATTTCCAATATGAAATACCTAGTATCTGAAAGTACCAAGGTTTACATTAAAAAAATATGGTATCTTCCAGTATTTTTTTAACGATGGTAAAACTACCCTCCTTAGAAAGGGTAGCAAAAAAGGTTTCTCATAAGAATTTCTTCAAGAAAATAATATATATAGGCCATTCACCCTAAACCTTCAATGGCAAAATACCGTGAAAGCAAGCATTCGATGGCATATACTGACTTTCCTTGTATAAATTCCAGCTAAAAAGGTAAATTCTGGTAGAGCCAGCTTTAGCTGCAAGTTGTATCTGTCTTTGTCTAGCAAAAGAGAAGATCAGAGGAGCCAAGCCAAAAAAGAAAAAGAAATAAGAAATAAAGAAGAAGAAAAGAGAAAGAGAGGGAAAAAAAAAGAGAAATTGAAAAAAAAAAACCGAAAGCACACACGCTGACACACATAACTCCTCTATTTGCTATGCCAAGTGTCCATTCAGCTAAAATAACATCCTTTGCAGCAGTAGAACAGAATTTAGCCCTTCATGCTGCTTCCCCTTCTGCAAAGGCCCTTTGCAGTGGAATTGTATTTTGGCCTTTCATGCTGTTGCCAAAGGGGAAAATAACAAAGTCAGGCTAGGCTATCACGGGCTATCCATTGTATCCTTTCACCAGCACACAACAATAATATTACAACTGAAACAAAGTTGATCAATTGATTCTCGTATTTCATCTCTACTAGAACAAACTCCACGAGGTCAGGAAAAAAAAGAATGAGTTGATGATTCTTTATTCAAGATTAAGTTCTCAAACAAAAGAGTATCAATTATTCATAAACTTTTTTGGAGATCTCCCTAAAAAATGTGTTGTCCCTAAGTAAATTTACTAGGGAAGCGTGCTTCCCGTTGATGTGGTGGTGGAGTCGTGGATCCACCCACCAAGGTTCAAATCCTAGTGTTCATAGACATGGTTGTATGTGTTCTTAGTTGTTGCAGAGGCTGGAAGTTATACTTCCATTGTCCAGAAAAGAAGTTAATTTACTACTCAACAGGTTGCTACAGCCTTTCGTAGAAAAGCAGGGTGGCCTCCGCTGCCAAAACTTCACACTCTGAAACATGGGACACATGATCATCCGAGACGTAAAGCCACTCCTTTCTAAAACTTGCAAGAGATTGCACTGGTTCATTAGAATCCGAATTTGGCGTTACTCTCCGGTAAGCTGCATAATGCCCACCTCCACATACGCCGTAGTGTTCCACGACAGATGAGAGGCCATATAACTTGTCTGTCAATGATGATGAAGACAAGAACCTACTATCTGCATCCCTATTTCCCTAAAAAAGACAAGGAGGCATATGAAATGATTGCGTGATTTTAATTGTATAGAAAAAATGATCAGGAATGCCATCATCATTCAAACAAAACCTAAGAAATATATATGGTTGTAAGTAGTTTATACCACGTAAAATGAGCGTCCAAGTGTGTTTATTGATTCATCACCACAATGATGACTTGATGAGTCCCCATCAGTGGCAGCGGGGAACATATTCACAGGCATCTCTGCATTCAGCTGTCGCCACAGATGGAGAGTTTGCTGGCCATGTCTTTGCTTGTTCATTGCTGAAGGTTTAGGTCCCTGTCCAGGGATTAATGCACCACCAGCAAATGGTGAAAGATCAAGAAGTAAAGGGAAAGAAATGTGTCCCTGCAATCAAAGACGACCTATATAGTTTAGAGTGTGGAGTGATATAAAGCAACAGTATTTATTACACATGTTACGTGCGCTTACCCCACGCTTAACAAATTCACCATCTAGACCAACAGAAGCGCGTAGCAAATGAATGCACAAGATCTGGAAGAGGATACTAAATCAGGTTTAGCAACATATTGTACGACATAATTCCACTTATGTTACAAAAAGGTACTTTGGTTGTACCTTTGGGAAATGAGTGATAGCCAGCTGCTTTGTTGCCTGAGAAGATATCGAACATGTCATTTCCTCCGGGGTAAATATATGCCTGCAACTGCAAGTGCCATAGTCGACACAGGTGTGTAGTTTGTTAATTTTTTCCTGCCAAAGATAACAATACAGGGTATCATATCAAGCTTAGTTAAACAACTAAGATACATCAAAAGATAAAACTACTACCTCATCAACTTCGGATTTAAGAGACAAATATTTGGCAGCAACATTGTGCCAACAATGATCACAACGATAGTTGTCAAGATGCTCCAACGCCGTAAAGTGCTCAAGGCAATCCACCAAACTACATCCATTGATCTAAATGTCACACGATAAGAGAAACATAAGGGAAACAAGCATTATGAATAGCGCAGGAACCAAATCTAGCCATTGATGAATCCTGAATTAATGAAACATAGGAAGGTTCACTTGCACATACAATATCTCCATTTATAGTAGCCACAGGTGAGAGAGGCAAGCAGTAGAAATTTTCGAAGTCCAATGACAGCTGTGCAAAACAATAACAATGAGAACAGAAAATCAACAGAAGTGATAAAAAGTACTAAGCATGCTTTCAACAAACTGCAGAGAGCATGTGACACACCCCCACCAAAATATATTTAAATTGGTCAAATATATACAGATTTATCATCAATACATCTTCCATAATACCATACTTATAATGGCATACATATATAGCTAGATAAAATAATTGTCAAAGGTGTGTACAGCAACATGCATTTGGTAAAAGATAGAGAAGAGGACACATTAATCGTCACAACATACGAGATTAGGAGCATAGTTAACAGCTACAAAAATAGGGGCATAGGTATCTACCACAGATGAACAATTTCTGCAAGATAATATGCTGCCAATAGTCCCATCAAAGGGACCAAATAGGTTTTGTTTCCATCGCTTGCATTCAGGCTGGTTACCTTCCCTTTGACTATATACTTTGGAAGGAAACATGGTGATGTCTGCCAGAGAACTCCTATTTGGTACATAACAACGGGAAAATTCATCCCTCAGTGAGGTCAAAAGATGATGAAAGGCTTCCGAAGCATCCTATGAGGGTTAAATAGTTCTCATCATTTAAGGACATATAATATAAAAGTAAAATTTAAAGAGAAGAAATATACAGGATTAAACATCATGCCTGCTCTCTTGTCAAATTAAAGTGGCCGACGTAGAAGCTCAAAGCATCCATTACTCTGTGTGGACTCAGTTCAGTCCTTTTGTCTCGAACTACGCTCAAGTCTACAACATTTAAGTAAAGTTCATAAACTAGTAAAAGAAATTTTATGAGTAACCAACTAAATGAAGTTTTACAAGTATAGAACTTGAAACTGGGAGCATCACAAGTTATATTCTTTTTAAGAAAAATAAAACAACAGTTAAAAAGACATGCTTTTTCTTTCATATTGAAGGAAGAAACCGTGATGTGTGAAGTGGAGCAAGAACATCAAACTGTGAGCTGCAAGCAATTCATTTTACCAACCAATGCAATGACATGATATGATGTTCAGCAATTTATGTAAATAGATTCATAAATGTCAACACTGCATCAGAGTATACCTGTAAAAACGAACCGTGTTTACAGTATTACAGTATGTAACGATTCCACCAGACCACCACTGCTCGGTAATTCCTGAGACCACTAGGGTCACAGGAACCAACACTTTATTTTCCACTCAAATTATGTATTGCACAGATAATTACAGACAAATCAATAAAAAAGAACTTAAAAGTTGCTAAGTACTGATTCCACACCAACTCCCTTCCAAAGGTGCATTTTAGAAAGAGTAAACGGTGTACCTTTTATAAGAGAACTTAGAGCAAAAATAAGAGGCATTTTTTCGGACTTTTCCTCAGGTAGCACATCCTCACTTCCAAGCAAATTATCTAGAGAGGAAACAAACCCGTCACAGCTAGCAAGTGCCTGTCAAACAAACATTTTCTCTAGTTTAGCATTTTAGCTCCAGCTGATGACAGTGCTATACATAAAGAGTACCATATGACGGATCATTCAATAGAGAACGACATATACCTGCAGGATAACATTAAGAAAGCAATTGTTGCCAAGATTTTTCAGGCCTCCAGTGTAATAAAGTCTATCTGAGTTCGAAAGTAACTTCTTCTGAGAAACTGGTGGTATCACCAAGCTGCTATGCAGCGCCTTGCACAACCCAGCAACTCCTATTGCCAGGCCAACTGCTGCTGCAAGACTATAATGGGGCAGCCCATCACTGAGAGATACCAGTAGATTGCCATGCTCGGATTTTCCCATGACTCGACTTATCCTGCCCCCAATGTCCGTTGCATGAAACAAAATCAAATACCGGGACACAGGACACCTAAAGTTGTTTGCACCAGGGACTTTTGCTTTCTATCCAACTACCTCACACTTGAATAAATAGATATATAACCTGCATCCAATGTAATATTTCAGAACAATGGCTAAAAAATAAACAGTGATTCATGACCTATGTAGATAACAATTAAACGGACTAGGATCGATTCTGGTTAGCAATTTACTTACCATCAAACCGATGGTTACTATTACAAAACACAAAGCAAGGAATAGTAATTTTACCCAAAATAATAAAAAAAAACATCAAGATCAAACTGCCCAGCTACATGTTTATGAACCAGTATAATACCATAATCCGACAAACCAGTGGCGGATCTAAACTTTTTGGGAGCCATCAAACTGTTACTACCATTAAGGTTAAGGCAAATTTCTAGAACAGAAGCTAGGGTTAACGCGAATTCGAGAAGAAGTGCGTGGGAAGAGAGAGAGAGAGATGCGGCGGAAGCAGCAGCACGAACGACGGCGACACCGCTCGCTCGGGGATCGGCGCAGGCGGGGCGCGGTGGCGGAGGATGTGCTCACCGGGATGGATGCGGCGGGAGAAGCAGCAGGGCGAACGAACGGCGGCGCCCTGCTCCGCTCGCGGCGCGGGATGGATGGGGATCGCCGGAGGCGGTTGCGGCGGCGGTGCGGGTGGGCTAAAGGGCAAACTGACGAGGAAGTTTATCAGTATTCCGATCCGTATCCCTACTCTCTTCCTATTCTACGGATCCCTACCCTTCTACGACTCCGATCAGTATTACGAAATTTTACTGTCGCGTTTCTACAATCCTACAAAATATTACTCCCTCCGTTCCTAAATATTTAACACCGTTTACTTTTTTTCATCGTATTATAATTATTAATTATTTTTCTATCATTGATTCATTGTTAAATATACTTTTATATATACATATAGCTCTACATATTTTAAAAAATAAGATGAATGATCAAGCATGTTTAAAAAAGTCAACGGCGTCAAATATTTAAGGACGGAGAGAGTATTTAGTATAAGATAGATTAAAAATAGTATGAACAAATATGCTTAAGTTTACATAAACCAATTAAATTTATCGGAATCAATTTATATGCTTTAATTTATATAACATATTATCTATTTTATATCAAATTTTGTATTTTCTAAAATCTGGTAGTATCTCGATCCTATGATACTATCCGGATCCTATGACATTATAAATCAGAAAACGATTCTACCTGGTATTTCGATACTGATTACCTTTATCAGGATACGCACAAAATGGTAACAGTAATTAGTAATTTCGTCTAGCACATCCTATTCCCACCCTACCTGAACAATGGAAACCTGAAAAATGGAAAATAATATTAATTAGTTTTAATCGCATTATCCAAATGGCTTGGATAGACGAGTCATGCTAGCACGATCCACAGCCAAACGGATCGTGTAGTTCCTAGTTTGTCATGACACATGCACTTGTCATGTTGGTACACCGGGCCGGGTAGCGGCCCAAGCATGGCTTGGCGACGAGTCATACTAGCACGATCCACAACCAAACGGATCGTGTAGTTCCTGGTTTGTCAACTACACATGAATTTTCGGGCGGGCAAGGAAAGACCCAGCCCAATTGATAACCTACTGCTACAATCAACAAACAATCGTTCCTCTCAGAAAGAAAAAACAAGTGATGATTGATCACAAAAGGAGACATGCTACCTAGACAGTCCCAAAAAAAATAATGGCTGATCTCCAAAAAAATTCTTGTTACAGTGAACAAATAATGGCTGAACTAAAAATAAGTTCAAATGGTGGCATATGGACCACATAGGCGTACCGAAACGCAGACATGGAGTAGACTTCGAAATTTGTAACACCAGGTATTTCAGGGTTTCCATGAGTAAACATACTCACGTTAATGGTATTTGCAATAAGAAAAATATGACCTTGCATAATTTTCTTAACCAAATTGTATCAGGGAAGATAATCCCCTAAACCTCAACTATGTCTGACAATCAATCTCTAGCCTTTTTCTAGCTTTTACAAGTCCAATTTGTAAATCGGTTCATGGACCGTTTTCCAAGTACATCAATCCATTTTGCTCTGTAGGGGCCGCGTCTTCTTTTGATCTTAGAGGTGTGGAAGCAAGATTCTTGATAATGGAAGCATACAGATCAAAATCAGCTTTGTACTTGCAGCAGCTAGCCTCAATCCACTTCTCTGCAAGGCTTGTGGCCACGCTGTCTTGACTATCCCTCTCATGCTCTTCGATCGCCGGCCTTATCTCGTCGTACAGGCTGTCAATTTCAGCAGCAGCTTCATTCTTCATTTCCTGACATTTGATTTGGAAAAAAGGTCATTGCAAAGCCTAAGCTTTCCTAGAGCAATGTTCAATAAAAAGGGAGTTACAGTAGTTCTTTACCTCGCAATACAATATTTCTTCACGTGCCACCTCTGATGCTAACCGATCACAGATACCCACAACATTCAGTTGCTTGCGCATACCACGTTTAGCTTTTCCACCACGAAGTGTGGGTCTACGTTTCACCGCAACCAACTCTGTATGGTTGTTGTCCCGGGGCGCACTTTGATTCTGGAGGTTTGCAACTCCACGCGTTGAGTTTTGCAGAGCATCTTCAGCACATTGCGCACCATATTCAATTGATCCATTCTGAGTAAAATCAACTCCCATTGGAATAGCATTCAATGGTTCAATAGTCATTGGTGTCAATTCATTTGAGCTCACATTCAATGGTTCAACATTCATCGGTGTGAACTCATTTGAACTCGCAATCGATGGTTCAACATTCATCGGTGTGAATTCACTTGAACTTGCAATAATAGGAATCCCAGTATTTTGGATTGTGTTGTTGTTGCCATCCTGTGTATTTGGCTCATCTTTTATTAAGATGTCCTTTGGAATGCTGGTAGGTTCATCATCAGCAGAATCATAAAGGGGAACATTCTCAACAGAAAACCTGCAATTTAAGATGGAAAGCATATGTTAACCGGTGCTCAGATTTGTTGTATCCGTCGATATTTCGGCATTTCAAGAAATTCAGGCTTTGTTTGAAATGACAGGTTGACCCAGGCAACACAAATCTGCATATTTTTAACCAACTAGGATCTTCTTCTATGATGATAATGCAAGACATGACAGTAATATGGATCTGAGAAGATAATAAAGCAAGACATAATAGTAGTTATGTTAACATGCTGTTTAATTGCTTCTTTTTTCCTATTTGTCTTAACTACTCCCTCCGTCCTAAAATATAACAACCTAGGATCGGATGGGACGTTTCCTGTCCAGATTTGTAGTACTAGGAAACGTCCCATCTGATCCTAAGTTATTATATTTTGGGACTGAGGGAATAACAGAGAAAGGTCACTGCTAAGTAAAACCATCCAATTACAGAAGTTACCACATATAACTTCCTGGGACCATTTGAATAGACAATATTTTATTCAGCAGATTGGATAGGTAAGTACAAGCACAATCCTACCTGTCATCATCATCTTCCCACAGGTATGTAGCCTCCTAAAACATGGCAAAAATGTAGCATTCATTACATAAGCGATGGGCATTCTAAAAGGAATGTAAAAATGAAAATAAACACTGAAAATGTAACCAATTTGTAACTACTCCTATATAAATTAACAATTTATGAAGCGACTGTGCATGTAACCTGTACTTCAGCACTCATGGTAAGAGAGAAATGCAGAAGAATTATGCCAGCACATGTGCAAGGGAAAATCCTACTTATAAAATGGTGCTTTTCAGGTTACAAGACATATCACACAACAACTTTTTACCTGGAAACCACGTGATTTAGCCCCAAGAAATCCAGAACAGCTGCCAGCTCCACAAAGGCACCTCACCATTGCACCACCAAACCACTCAAAGTTGTAGTCATAGGATAGTTCCGTTCCGATTGGAATATCTTGTTTCGCAAAAATTCCCACTCTTACTTCCCCAAGAACATTCCATTTCCTTGTCTCACAGTTTGGTTGGCTGCATGCTTCAATAACAAGCTATCAGATTTAATCATTAAATGCTAGTAAATGGAAAAAAACTCGATAATCAATTATCAAATAATGCATATGAAAGAAACATAATATAGGCAGACATATATTTGCTACAAGACATACCACGAATGGTTGATGAATCTTGCCAGGCTCCCCTTCTTTGTTGCGTCGATAGACTCATCAGCATTCAGATAGATAATATAGGCATCCGTTAAACCTAACAGGGCACAAAAAACAAATGTTATAGCTAGCCAAAATTAGGGATGGCAATGGGGACCCGAACCCCGATACCCGATAGGTAAAAACTCTATTAGGGTATGTAAACAGGCTAAATTCATCACCCATGGGGCTGTTATCGGCTAGAAACTGTCACCGTTGGGTGATGCGGGGACGGGGATGTTCCATAGGCACCCGGCCCCGAATCCCCGTGGGTGACTCGAGTAGTGTAGGCATATGTACAGTCCATAAAAGTTAAAAGCCCACTTAGTGCCCAATTTAGAGGTGCTGGTATATAAAGCAAAAGAAACCCTACACTAGACCAGTCCTCCCTTGTCCCCTTCTCAGATCCATCAGCAGCCGCCAGTCGAGGTCGGCAAGGGCGCCAGCCATCGCACCTCCTCCAGGCCACAGCAGCGATATAGCACCCCGCCGCCGCATAAGGTGACCATGCCGCGCGAGCTGTTGTTCTGCCTCCAAGTCGCTTGCTCATGCGGGAAAGCAAGAGGACGGGCACTTGCTGCATCCGAATGCCGGTATATACTTTGCTTGTTATTTTCTGCTCTGTCCTGTTTGTCGCTGTTTATTTTTCTCATTTTGATGGAAGTTGGAGCTGATTCTTGGCAACAGAATCATGCAAGTCTGGCACCATGGTCATGTTCATAATCTGAGAAAATGATAGATGTATGTCCTCGTGCTATTTTTGCCGATCTGTTCTACTTCTACCTTCCTACTAGAGAACCTTCTTGTTGATTTATGCCCACGAGTTTATCGGGTGTGCGACCCCGTGGGTGCCCCGTGCACCCGGCGAGGCTTGGGGACGGGAGAAATACAGCCCCGACACCGGGGACGGGGGCGGGTGATTTCTAACTGCACGGGGACGGGGACGGGGACGGGGGACCACACCCCGCCGGGGATGGCCCGGTTGCCATCCCTAGCCAAAATGTACCACCATGCTAACATTGAGGGAAGATAAAATCAACAGACCCTGGTTTTCATATGCTTGAGATCTCCTCTTGGCTTCCTTCCATGATATTACTTCTCCACAATATTCCATAACAAATTGTCCAGCCTAAAAACCATTAAGAAAACAATGACTCACTAAAGCATACTCACTTGAATATATTTAACAACATTAGCAGACCATAAAATCAAGGTAAATTCAGTCACCATAATATTCTCATCAGCCAAAAGGCCCCATCCACGCCCTTCAGTTTTTACCAGCCTTGTCGCAGCATATTGGCTTTTTTGAAATCGCTGCCAACAGAGAAATTGATTAAAATACAAACATAACTACCAGTGAAACTGTAAAGCACTCCAGATGACATTCGGCCTCCCTAGCAAATTGGTAAAACTATATATTGAAAATGATAGTGTTCGGTATCTATAGAAAATTAGTAAAACTATATATTAGAAATAATGGTACATCATGTATAAGAAACCAGATTATATTCAATCTCACTTGAAAAAAAATCCTTACAGCTAAGAGCCAGCACGACTATATTGAAAATTGCTGTACATCTATAATAAACTGGATTATATTCAATCAAGAAGACAAGAAAGCAAAATAACCGTGTTACACCATTTTTTTCCCCTCCTGCCTAGTAACTAGGCTCGAGTGAACTAAAGTAATCATGTAAGAACAAATGTATGGATATTCATTCAATCAAGATTTGGAACGGTTGCGCTACTACTTGAACAAGAGAAACACCAACCTGGTTCTTGCAGTATACACCGCAGAGGCAGTATCCAGGCGTACACTCCGTGCTAGTCAAGACGTTCAAGCACCGATCCCCGCACGCGCTGTCCGGATCCAGCAGATTATACTGGCACTCACACACAGCTATGTCCTCCTCTTTCTGCCTCTTGTGCCTAGCATCGCGCACCAAAGTATAAAGATTCGCATTACATCCAAAAGCACAGGACGCAGCCGTTGTCCCACATCGCCGTGAAACTCACTCACCTCCTGTGCAAGAAATCGTTGGTCTCGATGTGGATGTACGGCGGCGGCGGCGGCGGCTCCATGCGCTCTTCCTCCTGCAAAACCGAACAGCCCGGGGAGCTCAATCATACAGAATCAGGAATCTCTACGAGCGAGCGAGCGAGCTCACAGAGAAGTTACCATCAGAGACGCTAGCTCTTGGACGGCGGCGAGGTATCCGGCGAGAGGGGTAGGGAAATCGCGGCTGATAGCCTGGGACAGGAGCCCGCGCGGCGCGTGAGTGGTTCGAGGAGCGGCGGAGGCGGCGACTGGGGAAGTGGTCGCCGGAGGAAAGGCGTCCTCCCCGGGGCTACCGAGGGGGGCGTCGCCGGCGCCGGAGGAGGTGAGCTCCGCGGCGGAGGACTTCGCCGGCTGGCCGGTGGTCGGAGGAGGAGGAGGAGGAGGAGAGGAAAGACGGATTCGGCTGGGTCGGATCGGCGGCGCTAGCGCTTGGAAGCGTAGCGGGCTGCACACGTGGACGGCCAGGATGGGAGGGAGAGATCACCGGGTCCTCGTGCCGCCGTCGTGTTGGGCCGGGCCGGAAGCAACCTGGCTGGATTGCCTCTTCCGTTTTGCAAACGGAGCAAATAATCTCATCTATAAATGGCAAAAGGAAAAAGTATACCAAAGGTCCCTCAACTTGTCATCGAATTACAAAATCGTCCTTCAACTGTAAAACCGGATGACGCATCTCCAAACTTACAAAACCAGTGCAAATTAGATCTCTCGGCGGTTCTAGGCGGTTTTGACTCGGTTTTATCCTATGTGGCAGCTGACTCAGCGTGGGACCCACGTGGGCCCCCACGCGTCAGCCTCTTCTTCCTTCCTCTCTCCACCTCTCTTCCTCTCTCCTCTTTTCTCCAATTTCCGGGCGGCGCGCGGGGGAGCAGCTGCACGTGACGGGCGGCGGCCGGCGGGCGCAGGCGGCGTGGGTAGAGGCCGCGCGCAGGCGGCGAGCGGCCGAGGAGGAGCTGGGCGGAGGTGCACGAGCTCCTCGCCGGACTAACGCTAGACCGGCTCCGCCATGTCCGCCGCGAGGAGGTGGCGCGCCTCGTCGGCTCGCTCAGCTGGAGTGCCACCGACGCCGAGCACGTCGACGTCGACGCCGCGCTGATGGGTGTCACCAGCAACATCGTCCCTCGCATGGTGATGGGCCGGCGGTGGACCGGCGACGACAACGACATGGAGGAGATGCGGAGCGTGGTCGCCGAGACGGCGGAGCTCACCGGCGATCTCGTGTACCAGGACATCTTCGCGGCGGGGACGACAGGCGGAGCTCGACGCGGTGGTCGGTGACCTGCAGGCCGTGGCGAAGGAGACGTTGCGGCTGCACCCGACGCCGGCCGCGCCCCGCTGCTCCCCCGTTGGCTGCCGCCCGCCGCCCACGTCCGCCCGCGCGCCGCTCCATCGCCCGCCGCACGCGCGCGGCTCCTCCCCACGCCGCCTTCGCCCGCCTGGAGTTAAGTCAACCATTAACTTTGTACCAGTTCAAATCAGTGGCAATCACCAAACCAAACAGTGCGAGCATGTGAGCTCGATCTTAACAACAAGCAAGCAGAACTGTAGCAGGAACCACCAGCTGCTGAGGATCCAAAGCAAATGGGGATCATCAGATCGATTGCTCATCGGCGTACTACTGGAGATGATGGGCTCCAGGGCAACCTTGTCGGCGGTTGCCTTGCAGGATGGATGGATTAAACGAAAAAGTACACCGAAGGTCGCCCGCCGCCTGTGCCCGCCTGCGCGCCGCTCCGCCGCCCGCGCGCGGTTCCTCCCCACGCCGCCTGCGCCCGCCGGCCGCCGCACGTCACGTGCAGTTGCTCCCCCGCGCGCCGCCCGGAGATTGGAGAAAAGAGAAGAGAGGAAGAGAGGTGGAGGGAGAGGAGGGAAGAAGAGGCTGACGGATGGGGCCCACGTGGGTCTCACGCTGAGTCAGCTGCCACATAAGATAAAATCGGAGTCAAAATCACCGAGGGACCTAGTTTGCACTGTTTTGTAAGTTGGGGAATACGTTATATCTGGTTTTGTAGTTGAAGGACGATTTTGTAACATCCATGACAAGTTGAGGGACCTTCGGTGTACTTTTTCCATGGCAAAAGGATAATGGAATAAGTCTATTTTTGGTCCCTCATCTCTTGCTCGTGATTAAGTTGCCTCCCTCAACCGTAAAACTGGGTATAATGTCTCCCCCATCTTAAAAAAAAAAGGTGCCAATCGACTCTTTCGGTGGTTTGGAGGTTGGTTTGTTGACGTGGCATGATGACCACGATTGATTTGCCGAGTCAGCATGTAAGGCCCACGTGTCATGACTCCTCTATTCCCCTACCTCTTCTCTTCTCTCTCCTCTATTTTCATTGGCGACCGCGCCACGCCCGAGATGGAGCTCTGACGAGGGTTCAAGATGCTCGCAGTGTCGCGGCCCAACCCGTCCGTGGCGGCCTGTGAGACCTACCTCAACCACCCCGTCCAGCTCAATGACCTCAGCCCAGAAGCCTTCTCAGAGATCCCCCATGCCATGGCGCTCCTCAACTTCCTCCGCACTGTGCGCACCGTCATGCTCTCCGTTGTCGGCATTGACCTCAGCTCTTGCAGGAACCCCACCTGGTCCTCTCCCTGTCGGGCAGCGCCGATGACGACCCCCTGCCCACAACCGAGGTGCTCCACCGTGCCATCCTGGAGATGTTGGCATCAGTCACGGCCATCGAGCGATGCAGAACGCCGGTGATCGCGGCAATGAATGGTGCTTGCGTTGGCGGCGAAGGGACGATGGATGCGCTGGTGGCACAATCTATCGCAGGAGGGCTCTGGGGAGCGTTGCCCAAGCGTGCTCCCATCGACAGCACCGTGTTTGTTTTTGCCTAACATAGATAGACCTGGCTCTCTCTCTCCCATCTCCAATGTCTCCACCTCCCTGACCAGCACCTCCCCTAGATGGCCACCCTCCTTCTTGTCAGCGCCCCCGCGACACTCTTCCTCCTTCACCCACCCATCGTCACCGACACCACCATCAACCCATGTAGCCTATCCATGCTCTAGGACTTGCGCCGCTCGCTGACCAATGGCAATGCCCTCGCCTTAGAGTGGGACCTCAACATCGCCGAGCCCTACGCCGCCTGTCCGCACATCTCATGCGACCACACCAGCCGCATCAACAACATCGACCTTCCCGCCGACACCACCGCCATGCAATAGCTTTAGAGCCTTAGCCTCAACGACTGCAACCTCACCGGCGCCATCACATACTTCGTGCAGAACTCACGGACTGGCTGGTGTTGGCGCTCCTACCATTGAGTGACGTCGTCTGGCTCCGGCTGAGAACAAAGAGAGATAGAGAGAGAGGGTAAAGGGGAGAAAAGGAATGACTAACTTGTAAGGCTACTGTTTATTTTTTTCTCACTGATATGTGGGTCCCATGAGCATCACGTAGGACGAAACCGCCATTCAAACAGCGAAGGACTCGATTTACGCCGGTTTAAGGGAGCAAGATTGGAGATATGTAAACTAGACTAATTAAAAAAATGTTAACCACACCGAAAAAAATAAGCATGTGTTGGAGCTCCTACCGCGGAGTGACGCCATTTGGCACTGGCTTGGCGAGAACAAAGAGAGAGGGTAGAGAGCGATGGTAAAGGGGAGAAAGGAATGACTGCCATGTGAGGCCGTTTTGTCTTATTTTCTCTCACTGACATGTGGATCCCATGAGCATCACATAGGATGAAAACGCCATCCAAACAGTCGACTGACTTGATTTACGCTGGTTTAAGGAAGGTGAAAAATTGACCGGGTGATTCAGAGTTCAGAAATATAAAATTGATTCATTAAAAAAAATGGTCGCGTAAACAAAAAAAAAGGAGGACATATGACATGTGGATCCCATGAGCATCACGTAGGATGAAAACGCCATCCAAATAGTCGACTGACTTGATTTACGCCGGTTTAAGGAAGGTGAAAAATTGACCGGGTGATTCAGAGTTCAGAAATATAAAATTGATTCATTAAAAAAAATGGTCGCGTAAACAAAAAAAAAAAGGAGGACATATGCTAGGCGTATGTGTCATGCGTCTTTTGCCCTTGGGCGGTGACAATGATTATTTCCTTTGACCAATGTGAATATTGCGAGCCGTGCACTCAGCACGTGCAGCCACCGGACTCGGGGTGTGCCCGTCAGCACGCTTGGTTCGGCTGTCGCCTGCCATATGAGGAGGACTAAACGTTGTTAGCTCTCCGGTGTGGTACTAAACAACGTGCACCACCTAAGCACCTTTGTGTTTAGAAACCCGCGGAGCGGAATAAATTCCTCGTGGAAAGACGAGCGCACGTACTGTATTCACGTACGCTTTCGGTGAACGTACCAGTTCCGTCATAATCTCAGCCCATCTCCTTCGTCACACAACGTATGACTAGTAGAGGTTGTTTGGTTGCTAGCCAAAATTTGGTTAATTTACCATAAGTATGGCAAGTAGGTTTGATCAAGTTAGTGTAGTGTTTGGTTCTAATCATAAGTTAGTTATGCCAAACTTTCCTTTAACTTGACCCTACATTTAATAGACACAATAATGTGTGGCAAGGAGGCTAAGATGTGGCTTCATTTTTCTTGGCCACAACTTTAGCAACTTAGCCACAAATGTCTGGCTAGCTTAGGCAGTTTTACACAACCAACCAAACAGCCACATCTGCCGAACAAATGGCAGCTAAACTGGTATAGGAATTGTCCAACAAAGTCAACAACTCGTTGATTTTACAATTTTTTTAAGAAAATTTAAGAAGTACCATTGATAAGTGTCTGGTTCCAAAAAAAATGCCATAGACAAATACGAGTTTCATGAATTACTATTGTACAAGCAACTTTGTCCCATAAATGCTAATGTTGTTATAATTCCGTTAGCATCTCCCCGTTGGCGTTGGGTAGACGGAAGAATAACGACAATGATATTTCTAGGACAAAATCACTTGTACGATGGTATTTTATAAAACTCATATTTATCGATGGTATTTCTTAGATTTATGTGTATGTCAATGGTTGGATTTTCTCTTCCTTTTACCATCAGCGACGCTAGCTGTGGACGTAGGGGTGGGCAGAAAAAGACCGAACCAAAATAACCAAGACTGAAAAATTCGGTCTTATTTACTAGATGACCGAATTTTTTTCGATCAATTCGGTCATCACCCTTAGTTAACCGAATTTCATTGAAAGCCCATATCAGCCCAAGAAAGCAAGCTCAACACTAGTAAAACCCTAGCTCCCTCTCTATTGCCTTCTCCTCATCCACCCAGCTAGCAGCCGCCACGCTCTCCCACCCAACTAGGAGAGAGCGCTTATTTCTTTTCTTTTTCACCTGAGCGCTCCTTTCTTTTTCTCTCGCACATCGACGTCGTGTTTTGTCGTCGGCGCCTCTGCACCGTCCCAGCGTCTCCTCCTTCTCACAAGTCACACCACGACGACCTACTCTTGTTGCGCCACCTTCAGTCGACACCCATGCTGCCGGAGCCCGGAGGCCTCAAACCCCCAACTGCCAAGCCCAAGCCGCGATCCTCCGTGGCTCCACCCCGGGGGCACATCTGATGGTGCCTCCTCTACCCCGCCAGCGACGAGAGGTGCCGAAGCCGATCTGGGATGAGTATATGATAATGAAGAAAGCCGATCTGGGATTTTTATGAATTTTCTTCATGTGTATGTTTTTTTATTTGAAATTTATTGTGGATTTGTGCGATTCTTCTGAATATTTCTGAAATTTCGGTCTAACCAAGACCGAGACCAAATAGTTCTATCTTTAATATTTTTCAAGTCCGAACGGTCTTGCGCTTTAAATGACCGAACATAAAACAGATTGAAAACCGAGATCGAATTTTCGGTATTACTGAATGCTCACCCCTAGTTGGACGTGGATAGCGCTGCGATTTAGCATGCCGAGGCAGGTGGAAGACGAGAAAAATCCAACGTGCGGTAGCATAATTGTGGCTGATAGATACGAATTATTTTCTTTTTTTAAATTTTTTAAAAATATTTACAGAAATAATCTATCGTCGGAAAAATTTATAAAAATAGATCCTGCTGCCCTAGTGCAGGGCGGCAAGCTGACGTGGCAGACAACGGCTCGACGGGCGGTGACGGCCGATTGGAAAAGTTGAACTTTTTGTATTAACACCCTTGCCACCCATTGCCAGGGCGGCAATGGGCCTCCATGAAAAAGCCAGCCCGAGAAGGGCCATTATCAACAAAGGTGGAAAGAAGCATTTGGCCGGTTTTTTTTCATCTCTGCCTTCTTTCCAGCTGGGCAAATAAGGGCGGTAAGGACCAAAGCGCAAAATGCGCACACGGCGCCGTTGAGCCGCCGTCTGTCACGTCAGCTTGCCACCTTCCACTAGGGCGGCAGTGTCTATTTTTGTAAATTTTTCTGACGATAGATTATTTCTGTAAATATTTTAAAAAAATGAAAAATGAAAAAAATTCTGATAGATACAGACATACGGCCGTGTTGAGCCGGGCCGGAAGTACTGATAGGTTTTGCTTGATTGGGCTTCCAAGACAACGAGCTGATGGGCCTGGACAAGCTCCGTGTGGGCTGGGACTCGCCGGAAGGGAGTTCCCAATGGAGTGTGTTTTCGCTAGGCAACCTCAGGAAGGGCTTCGACTCTTTCGTTTCCGGGTTACAAAGCAGCTAGCTTTGGTTGGAAACGAAATTCTCGTGCCTCTGATAGTGTTTTTTTGCCAGATCGGCACAGTGGTGAACATGATCTAGATAGAGGCGGAACCTTCTTCTCTAGGAGATCTTTTTAGCACTTAGGTTTTTTTTCAGCTAAATTCGGACCCTATTCTCCCCATCATAACCCGCCATGATTGTTCTAACGTTAAAGTTGTATTCAAACATTTTTCTTCTACTATAATAACGTGCAAAGCTTTTTTTAAAAAATAATAGAATAAAACATCCCGGCCTTTGATCATCAGAGCTATAGCCAATTATTACAAAAGTAACACCCAAACACTGAGTGTAGTTCAAATGAATTAAACATACCCAACAAAATAAAATATCAAACTAAGATAAGGAGAGCACATTTATTCAAGTCTATTTATGAATCTCCATCTATAGTTTGCAAGGAGTTGCATGACCGTTGTCTCAAGCTTACGACATGCAACCTTCATAAGCTCTCGATCATCTTCACACATTTGCAGCTGTGCCCAAAATCGGAGCAAATATGTTGCCCTGAAAATTACCTGTATATATGAGATAGATAGTGATTTGTCAAAAACCATATCATTCCTAGTCAACCACAGAGCCCAACATATGGCAGAAGCTCCTACAAGTATGAGTTTACTCTTCTTCTTATCTACCCTCAAAAGCCAACCATCAAACATATTAGATATGGTAGTAGGAAGGTATAAACCAAGAGAGAACTGTACTGCTCTCCAAACAAATTTTGCATAATGACACTCTATAAAAAGATGTTGAATAGTCTCATTTTTCATAAAAAACAACATTTTAAACTGTCATTCCAATTTCGTCTTGCCAAGTTATCCTTGGTTAGCACAACCCCTTTAAGCAAGTACCACATAAAAATCTTAATCTTAAGTGGCATCTTAAGCTTTCAAATAATCTTGTTTCTTTCACTATAACCATTATTAATTAAAGCTAGATACATCGACCTAACAGAAAATATTCCATTCTGATGATAATTCCATCTAAAGCTATCAGAGGATTGATTCAATTGAATATGTACAATAGAAGCACACAATTCATACAAATATGTAAGATTCTGACCAACTAATGATCTCCTAAAGGAAACATCATTAAAAAAAAATCATCTTTCTTCTAGAAAAACAGCGTACTACATTTTCTCTTTCTCCAAAAATGAAAAAGAAATAGCGTCGATTTTACATGCATCAACTTGGAAAACTTTGTCTTTTCTTATAAAACAAATCTTGGCCATGCAGCAGAGGTTTTCAGCTAAGCTCAAGACCCACGGTATGGGCCACTGCATCCCGTCGCGTGTTCCGCGTCACCGTACACGGCGCCTGCACACGCCTGCACGACCAAAGCGAAAACGGAAGCGAACACCAAAGACCAGTTCTCCAAAAAAAAAAAATCTCAAGAAAAAAAACTAAAGACCGGCAAATCGTGCCTCGACACGTCACGTGCTCATCAAATAATCACAGGTACTGAGGTACGGGAAAAATACTAATCGCCACGTGGCGGAATGACCCCGTTTATTTAGTGTTATTTTACATGTAATGTAATAATAATGTTATTATCATCCATCAATCACCTTATGACCATTTTCCACCGTTCCCAATTTCCCTGCTCGATCGACTTGCTTTGCCTTCGTCTCCTCCACTCTGACTTCCTTTCTAGATGGTCAAACTGCAGCCATCACAAAATCTATATCTCTTTTTGTCTCCTACTTGATTCAGAGATGAGAACAATCCAAGAATCGCCATAAACACACACGGACAAAATTTGCTTTTGTTTTTGTCTTTTTTAGCTTTGGCTCCTGGGTTTCTTGCAGCAGTGGACCAAGAGTCGAAGCAAACGTTTAGAGTCAGCGCAGAGCCACCACGGATCATCCAATCCTTCGTGGCCAAGGATCGAGGGACTGTCTTCTTATGATCCACTGATCTTCTCCTAATTCGGTTTCGCTTCGTCCTCATTCGCTCTAATCAAACCATTTGTTTTTGCTAATTTCGATGTTGCTTAATCCAAGTTGGCTTCCGCAAACCGTGTTTTCGATTTGTTTGTTTTGATCATGGCGATGGATGGGGAAGTGTCCGGTGTTTGGAGTTTCTTGGCTTTCTTTAAGCTCGAGTGGTTGAGGAAGAGGAGCATATAAATTTGGGGGGTGTTCTTGCATGAGGTCAAACGAGCGTAGCTACTGCGTCGGCGATGGCGTTGTCGGAGCCGGACCTCGCGGCGGAGACGGAGGCGATCGTGTCGGCGCTCACGCACGTCGTCGCGTACGGCGGCGGCGGCCCGCCGCCGAGCGAGGAGACCGCCGCGTCCGCGGTGACAAGGACAGCGCCGTGGCGCGCGGACGGCGCGCGGCAGGGGGCGGTGCCGGCGGCGAGGAAGTACAGGGGGGTGAGGCGGCGGCCGTGGGGGAAGTGGGCGGCGGAGATCAGGGACCCGCACAGGGCGGCGCGGGTGTGGCTCGGGACGTTCGCCACCGCCGAGGACGCGGCGCGCGCCTACGACGCCGCGGCGCTCCGCTTCCGCGGGGGGCGCGCCAGGCTCAACTTCCCCGAGGACGCCGCCGCGGCCGACGAGCGACGCGCCACGGACGCCGCGGCCGCCGCGGCGGCGGCGTCGTCGGCGCCCGCCGCGCTGCTGGAGTCGCAGCCGGGCGACGTCGCGGACTGCCTCGACTACTCCAGGATCCTGGCGGGGGCGCCGGAGCGGCCGACGAGCTCCACCGTCCCGGACGGGTTCTTCGGCGGCGGCGGGAACGGCCGCTTCTTGCACTCGTGGAGCATTGGCACGTCGCCGTCGCCGTCGGGCTCGGGCTCGGGCGGAGCCGGCGGTGGCGGTGGCGGTGGCGGTGGCGGCGCCCCTGTTCGTCCTCTGTTTCATGGCGGTAACGGCTGGGAGCAACGCGGTGACAGTGCATACAACGGTTTCTAGACGCCTCGGGAATCGGGATTAGCGATATTTGAAGAAGAAAAGCAAAGGATTCGAGAATTAGCATATTCTTTTATCATGGTACTGAGAATTAGGCTATTTTTTTAGGTACTCATAGTATATTCGAGAATTAGCCTATTCTTTTATGGTACTCCGTAGTGTAGTAGTAGTGGAGTAGTAGTAATTAGCAGTAGTAGCAGAATAACTTTGTTAGATTGTTTCCCGAAAAATCATTGTATGTTCCAAAAACTCATTTAAAGTAAGGCAAGCGATTATTTATGTAGATAGATACATGATGTAAACTCAAAGCAATTTTGGTTGTAGTGATTTGCGATACAAGGAGCCCCCGAATGGGGGGCAGAGCAAAAATAAAAAAAATTGCTAGCGTATGTGTCATGCGCTGTTTTTTGCTCAATTGTTGAGCGAAGAGCCGAGGACAAGCAACACAGCAATGTCCACAAGTCGGCCTTCATAATCCATGGGTTTTGTTTGATATGCTTACGTGTGACATACGCACACTACCATCAGCATACACGTCCGTGTGTGCGAGGTGTGCCTTCGATCGAGCACGTCAACAGCGTAGCAGGATAGATATGTAAGAAGAGGTGAAATCCTTTCGATCTCCGGTGTGGGACTAAAAAAAATTGACGGCGCTAAAGTAAACAACGTGCACCTCTGTGTCTAGTGTTAGAATAATTGGGCTAGACTTAATTTATCCTATTAAATCTCAGACCCATAATAAGTGTTAAGGATAATAATACCACCTCAGGATTTAAGCAAGAAATATCTTAACCTAAATAGGGAGTTATTGGAGGCTCCCAGTTGACTGGTTGAGGTGGGGGTCGGAAAGCCACGCGCGCGCGCCGGGTCGGGCGAGGGCGTGACGGGCGTGCGTCACGTCGCTATTCTTTTGCGTCCACGATCCCACGTTCCCACGACTGCCTCTGCAATGGCGCGTCCACGATCCCACGTTCCCAGGAGGCCGCTAGATAAGGAGGCCGCAAGTCCGATCAGATTCCTCCTCCGCAACGGCGCGTCCACGATCCCACGTTCCTAGGAGGCCGCTAGATAAGGAGGCCGCGAGACCGATCAGATTCCTCCTCCTCCGGGCCTGTGCTGCTCTCGCGTTCTGATCCACTTGCTTCTTTCCCGGGTGTTAGTTCCTCCTTCCAACCACACCTTCGCCTGAGATCTGCACCGGGTAACTGCCTCTCTCCTGATAGATAAGGAGGCCGCGAGTCCGATCAGATTCCTCCTCCTCCGGGCCTATGCTGCTCTCGCGTTCTGATCCGCTTGCTTCTTTCCCGGGTGTTAGTTCCTCCTCCCAACCACACCTTCGCCTGAGATCTGCACCGGGTAGGCGGGTGATCAGGTTTTTGGAGAGTGCTTCCCGCACGACTGCTCGTCCTCGCCCACCATGTCTGCGCCTGGAGCCGGTGCCGCTACTGCTGCTGGAGGAGATGGCGGAGGTGGTGCGCCACCAGGAGCTGGAGCTGGAGCTGGAGGTGGTGCGCCAGGAGCTAGAGCCGGTGCCGCGAACAACAACACCAACGGAGGCAATTCTGCCTCACAATCCAGCGGAGGGCCATTCTCAAGGTATATCCTTCTCCTGTTCCTGTTCCCGTTGTTAGCGCTTTACTGCTATATTCCTGTTCCTGATATTCATGATGCCTCTAGCATGCTACTGCGTTACTGCTATGTTCTTGTTCCTGATATTCATAATGCGCATGATGCCTTTAGTATGCTACTGCCTTTAGTATGCTACTGGTTATGTTACATGTTGTCATTAGATCACCCTACACTGTTTATGCCATGATTATTGTCTTAACATTTTGGATTAAAATATGCCGATTTATGACCATATTTTCAACTATCCAAAAACCTGATAGGTCATTTTCGGTAGTTGGCTTTGCTGCTACATTGAAACCACATGCTTTTGATGGTTCTAACTATAAGAGATGGAAAGCACGTGCACTATTGTGGTTGACAGCGATGCAATGCTTCTATGTTTCACGGGGCAAACGAAGTGAACCACCTCTTTCTCCTGAGGAAGAGGCTAAGTTCGAGGCTTCGGATTGTCTGTTCCGTGGAGCATTGATCAGTGTACTCGCTGACAACATAGTGGACGTGTACATGCACATGCCTTCTGGGAAGGACATGTGGGATGCACTTGAGGCCAAGTTCGGAGTTTCTGACGCTGGCAGTGCGCTGTATGTCATGGAGCAGTTCTATGACTATAAGATGGTCGATGACCGTTCTGTAGTAGAAGCTCATGAGATTCAGATGCTGGCTAAGGAACTTGAGAACAACAACTGCGAGTTGCCGGACAAGTTTGTGGTGGGTGGCATTATTGCCAAATTGCCACCTTCTTGGTCGGACTTCGCCACTTCTCTAAAGCACAAGAGACAAGAGTTCAGTGTTTCTGATTTCATTGGTTCTTTGGGTGTTGAGGAGAAGGCGAGGGCAAAGGACGTCCGGGGCAAAAAGGTTGAGGGAGGTTCTAGTGCCAATATGGTACAGAAGAAGAACCCTCATGTATCCCACAACAACAAGAAAGTCAAGCCTGATGTCAAATCCAAGGCTGCAACCAACTTTAAGAAGAAAGGCAAGAGAAAGGCAAAGGGAGACTGCTTTGTGTGTGGCAAGTCTGGGCATTGGGCTAAGGACTGTCCTGAGCGCAAAGACAGGAAGTCTGCGAACATGGTCATTAGCGAGGGCGGAGGAACATCGGGGTACGGTAAAATATTACCTACAGTTCTCTCTGTTTTTCACTCACCTGATTGGTGGGTGGATACTGGTGCTAATATTCATGTATATGCTGACATTTCTCTATTTTCTTCTTATCAGGTCGGAAGAGGTTCCTCCTTGTTGATGGGAAACGGGTCGCTTGCGGCTGTTCATGGTGTTGGTACGGTTGATCTGAAGTTTACTTCGGGAAAGACCATGCAGCTGAAGAACGTGCAGCATGTCTCTTCAATAAAGAAGAATCTAGTTAGCGGCTCTCTATTGTGTAGAGAAGGTTTTAGACTTGTGTTTGAGTGCAATAAATGTGTCGTATCTAAATATGGGACTTTTGTTGGAAAATGTTATGACAACGGAGGTTTGTTCCGCTTTTCTTTGAATGACATGTGTAATAATCATAATGTTGTGAACCATATTAGCGAGAATGATGAGTCTAATGTGTGGCATTCGCGACTCTGTCATGTGAATTTCGGTTGTATGACGCGCTTAGCTAACATGAGTTTAATTCCAAAATTCACTTTGGTCAAAGGTTCCAAGTGCCATACTTGCGTTCAATCGAAATAACCTCGCAAGCCTCACAAGGCATCTGAGGCGAGGAATTTGGCACCTCTAGAACTTGTTCATTCCGATTTGTGCGAAATGAACGGCGTGTTGACTAAAGGGGGAAAGAAATATTTCATGACACTGATAGATGATTGCACTAGATTTTGTTGTGTGTATCTATTGAAAACAAAGGATGAAGCATTGCATTACTTTAAAATCTATAAAGCTGAGGTAGAAAACCAACTTGAAAGGAAAATCAAACGGTTGAGGTCTGATAGAGGTGGGGAGTATTTTTCCAATGAGTTTGCATCCTTTTGCGAAGAGTTTGGAATTATTCATGAGAGGACGCCTCCCTATTCACCCCAATCAAATGGGGTGGCCGAAAGAAAGAACCGTACTCTAACTGAGATGGTGAATGCCATGTTAGACACTGCGGGGCTTTCCAAGGAATGGTGGGGTGAGGCAGTTTTGACTGCGTGTCATGTCCTGAATAAAATTCGAATGAAGCATAAGGAAGTAACACCATTCAAGGAATGGGAAAGGAAGAAATTAAATCTCTCATACCTACGAACATGGGGCTGTTTGGCCAAGGTAAATGTACCTATAACCAAAAAGCGGAAACTTGGACCAAATATTGTTGATTGTGTGTTCCTTTGTTATGCTATTCACAGTGTGGGTTATAGATTCTTAATAGTAAACTCTGGAGTACCCGACATGCATGTTGGTACAATTTTTGAGTCCAGAGATGCTACATTCTTTGAGAATGAATTTCCCATGAAACATACACCTAGCACTTCTAGTCAAGAAACTGTCATGCCCCATGAGCACTTTGCACCGATAGAACACAATGATCAAACGCCTGAGGAAAATCCTGAGGAGGACAACATTGTAGATACTCGCAAGAGTAAGAGACAAAGGGTTACAAAATCCTTTGGAGATGACTACATTGTATACCTCGTGGATGACACCCCAAGAACCATAGAAGAGGCATATTCATCTCCTGACGCTGACTACTGGAAGGAAGCAGTACGCAGTGAGATGGACTCGATTATGTCTAATGGTACTTGGGAAGTCGTTGAGCGTCCATATGGGTGCAAGCCCGTAGGATGCAAATGAGTTTTCAAGAAAAAGCTTAGGCCTGATGGTATAATTGAAAAGTACAAGGCAAGGCTTGTGGCCAAGGGTTATACCCAAAAGGAAGGCAATGACTTTTTTGACACATACTCACCAGTTGCTCGCTTGACCACGATTCGAGTACTACTTGCTCTGGTAGCCTCTCATGGTCTTCTCGTCCATCAGATGGACGTTAAGACAACTTTCCTAAACGGAGAGCTAGAGGAGGAGATCTATATGGATCAACCAGACGGGTATGTACTAGAAGATCAGAAGGGAATGGTGTGTAAACTGTTGAAATCCTTGTATGGCCTCAAGCAAGCACCTAAGCAATGGCATGAGAAGTTTGACACCACGCTTACATCTGCAGGCTTCGTTGTGAACGAAGCTGACAAATGTGTGTACTATCGCTATGATGGGGGAGAAGGAGTGATCTTGTGCTTATATGTCGATGACATATTGATCTTTGGGACCAGCCTCAATGTGATTGAGGAGGTCAAGGACTATCTGTCCAAGAGTTTTGAAATGAAGGATTTGGGAGAGGCTGATGTTATTCTTAACATCAAACTACAAAGAGGAGATGAGGGTGGGATTGCACTTGTGCAATCCCCACTATGTGGACAAGGTGTTGAGTCGCTTTGGATATAGTGACTGCAAGCTAGCTCCTATTCCTTATGATCCCAGCGTGCTATTAAGGAAAAACCGAAGAATAGCAAGGGATCAACTGTGATACTCTCAAATCATTGGTTCATTGATGTACTTGGCTAGTGCAACGAGGCCTGACATATCTCATTTGCTGTAAGCAAGCTGAGCCGGTTTGTCTCAAATCCGGGAGATGATCATTGGCAGGCTCTGGAAAGAGTAATGCGCTATCTAAAGGGCACTATGAGCTATGGAATTCACTATACCGGGTATCCAAAAGTACTAGAAGGGTATAGTGACTCAAACTGGATATCTGATGCTGATGAGATAAAAGCCACAAGTGGATATGTGTTCACACTTGGAGGTGGCGCTGTT